ACTGAGGATAGAACTTAGGTACTTGCGCTTGCGCAGCAGGTGTTGAAACCACTGAGCTAAATCCCTGGCCCCTGCTTGGTCTTAATTCTTATTCCTAACTTGATCTCTCGCTGCTCTGGACTCTGTTGATGTTTCCCCAGGTCATTCTGAAAGTGATATGTCCCTGAAATGAAGCAGCTGGGACAAACTCTAGCTGTGCCCAGAGGCTGCCCCTTCCCTCAGTGGCGAACCTATGGCTTGTGCAGCAGCGGGCATGCAGAGCCCTCCCTGTTGGCACGCGAGGCAAGGCACCCAGCAGCCAAGCACCGGATATTCAGGGTTAATTGCAGTGTTGGCACTTTGCCATCAATGAGAGGGTTCTGGGTTGTGGAGTGGGCACTCGGTCTCTGAAAGGGTCGTCAACGGTTAAGAGGTCGGGCATGGCAGGGAGGCTGGACGGAGGCCATGTGGGCTGGGCTGGGAGGGAGCTGCCCAGGCCACCCCAGGGCTCTGTGGAGGACGGAGCACCATGGACAGAACCCAAAGAACACGAGGTGGGGCAGGGCCTGCCCAAGAGCCTGGCCACACCTGGCTTGAGGGCTCCTGCTCACTAGACTGGGGAGCTGATCCTGCGCTGCCCCTGGAGACTCATGGGTGGGCAGGACCCACACTGCAGGGGTCTTAGGTCCCTGGCCAGGGCCTGGGGATGAGCAGCAGTGCCCCGGATCCCATCTCCATGGGCAAGGCTGGGCCGCAGCCAGCCCTTTGGCAGGTGGCAGGCAGGGTGTCCTGTGACCTTGCAAACAGCCCCTGGCCCCTCCAACCAACCCTATCTCCACCGTGAGGGGATCCCAGAGGAGATGTGACACTGGGCATGCATGGCCAGGCCCCTGGCTTCCACGTGACCTGCTGGGGCGTGGGACCTTGAGATGAAAACTTCAGAATTAAAAGAACGGGACTGGGGCCATTTAATTTTGTGTAGCCACAAGGTCTACAGAAGAGACGAGCTGGCCCGGCTTTGCCTCTGGCCCTGGCCTGGGAAGGGACCGGAGAGGTGCACATACATTGGGCTGGAACATGCCGCTGGGTCACCTCAGTGCAGCTACCTACACGAAGATCACTCAGACGAGGCCACCCTCGGCCGACAGCCTCGCTCACCCCGGGGAGGCCCGGCAGTGCCACCTTCCTCCAGGCCCCAGAACCGTGCTCCAGCCCCAGCCACGGAGCTAGAAATTCAGTGTCTGTCACTGGTGGGGGATCCTTTCCAGAAAGCTCAGAGGCTCTGGCCAGCCCCATGGCTGTCCCAACCCAACTGCTGCCCTCCCTGCCAGGCCAGGCCAGCTCGGGCCACCACTGAACTAGGCGAAGCAGGCCAGAGCCTATCAAGCACCAAGGCAGCCCTGGACACAGGGCTGTGACCAGAGGAGATGCAGGCGGCAGAGATCCGCCCTGCCTGTCCTAACCATCACGCTAGAAAGCCAGGAGGCCAAAGCCAAGAACAACCCAAGTGCAAGGAGGCCTACGACCCGCTGCCCCGGCTCGACAACCTGGAGCAGCCAGCCCTGCAAGGACAGCCCCACCCCAGCACAGCTAGACCCTCATCCTCCAGAGCCAGCGATGCCCTCCTTCAGAACCATGGCTCCCACCCCAGGGTCCTGCCCAGGAAGGGTGGGGGACAGCAAGCCCAGTGCTTCTGCTCCACCTGCCCAGAAGGGGTCTGGCCACCTGCCCGTACCGAAGCGCTTCCCAGAGAAGGATGGAGTGTGCTAGAACCAGGGGCAGGTTCAGGCTGCCCCAAACGGGAGGGCAGCCAGACCAAGGGGCCCTCGGCTCCGACCTCGTACACCCAGGCCCAGGTCCAGGGACGCTCCCCTGCTTTATTAGGCCAGCGCAGCTCCAGGGCCACACGATACCTGGCCCTGGGCCCTGGAGACTCAGGAGCCAAGGTAGCGGCCTCCTCCAGTGTCAGGCACATACTTCGGGGACGTGTGGCCACTCGCCATGCTGGGTGGCCAGAGGCGGGGTGTTCCAGCCACTCCTCCCGGGCAGCCAGGGTCAGGGTGATGGGGAGTCCAGCTCCCCAAGGTGTTTCTGGGGCTCCCCTTGCACTCAGCATGTGGTCAGCCCCTCTCCTGGGGAAGGGGCTCAAATCCAGGCCAACACCTCAGGAGCCGACTTCGGGGCCAGCTCAACCGCAGGGAGCTGGCTGACCGACACGACCGGCCCAGGGTCTGTCTGCTCCTGGCTCCTGACTGCTGCTTAAACATGAAAGGCAGGGACAGTGCCAGGACGAGATGGGGCACCAGATAGAGCCGTGCCAAGCATCTGGGGACAGGGACCACAATAGCCCCCTCAACGGGGACACACTGGGACCTGGACTAGCGGGGCTCCGGGAGGGACAGGCAGGGCCCAGCATGATGACATGGGGACACCAGGGCCGTTCTCCGGTGCGGCTGCAGAGCCCCAGGGGGTGACAGACCTCCATCTCCACCTCCACCCGGGAGGGGCTGCTCACCAAAACTTCCACACATCGGCCAGGTCTGATCCAACTTTGGGGCAGTGCTGCTGACCCCATGCTCTCACTTCCATGGGCTGCGTGGTTTCTCCCCGTGGACCAGGCCATAGTGGACGCCCCCGCTATCTGCTCACGGCTGGGAATCTCTCTGAAGGCCGGGAGGGCTCCCCTGGGAAGAAGGCCTGTTGCCCTGGCTAGCAGCTCACAGAGCAGGCACATACACCGGTGAAAGACTGTTCACTCACAGATGAAAGATTAAAACACTAGCGAATTAAAATTTGTGATAATTCATAAGGCACTCTGCAGTGGGAACACGAGCTGGGAGGGAGGGGACAGGACACGCTCCCGCGGTCCAGGCCTCGATGTGGCTGTGCCCCCACGAGGGTGCCGGGGAGGGACCTGGCCTGGGCTACGTGAAGGCCGGGTCCTCGATGCCATGGTCGGGGTTGCAGGTGAAGGCAATGGTGATGGCATAGCGGGTACCCCAGCGGACCTTCTCCACCCGGTGCAGGTTCTCAGACCCCGAGGTGAAGAAGGAAACCCGACCTGCAGAGGAAGGGAGACAGAGATGCGACCCTAGAGGCCCCATGCACGCCACCGGCCCCAGAGTGTGGTGGTCGTCACTGGGCAACTCCCGCAGGGGACAGCACTGGCAGAGCAACAGCAAGGGGCAGGCTGGAGGGGCCACGTTCCAGAGCTGCTCCCTGAGAAGCTGGCAGCCCGAGAGACAGTGCCACAGCACCAGGACAGGGGCAGCCCTGGATCAGCAGCTTGAGCCTTCCAAGGCCATCTTGGGCTTGGTTTCTTCCAGCTTCAATCTAACCTGAGATGTGGGAATAAGCACTCGGGCCTTCGGCACAATGGGGCCCAAAGGTCTGGGCTGTGTGGGGCCCCCTGGCCCAGGCCACGCTCTCTCTGCTGCCCACCACAGACACAGATGTGCTTCTCACCGTCTGCCAGCGTTCAGTCAGAGCGGGGTCTCTACCAATCCTGCAGCAACTTCTGCCTATCTCTTTTTTTTTGTACTGGAGATTGAACTCGGGACCTTGTGCTTGCAAGGCAGGTGGCGGAACCACTGAGCTAAATCCCCGGCCCACTTCTGCTCATCTTGCAGAGGCTCCAAAAGCCAGAGGAGAAGAGGACAGAGGACATCAGGGTCTCCTGGGCTTTGGAACAACAGGAAACCACCTGCCCCATCACTGGAGCCTCAGAAGGGAGAAATGGACCTGGGGCAGAAAAAGACTTTGGAGAGCAATAACAGCCAGACCTCCCCCGCTGGGTGAAAAGCTGACCTTCACGTCTGACGAGATGAGCAAACTCCACGCGGGGTGAGCACACACAGTCCCGCCTTAGCACCGTGTGTGAAAGACGGCAGGAAACCTCCTGGTCAGCAGGGAGAGTGGGGGCACGTCTAAGGAGCATGAAGGACAGTGACATCTCATCCCCAGGGAAAAGGCCGGGGCGGGCGGTGGGCAGGGATGCGACTCAGAGGTGCAGTGCTTGCCTGCCATGCATGAGACCAAGGGTTCTATCCCCACCAGCATCACCAAACACTAATGAAAAGAGAAGTAAATGAGGACATGTTAAAGAGTCCTTGGCAGCCCTACAGGAACCTGCACTGCAGGGATCACTAAGGGCAGAAGGGAAGCGGCCTGCTGGAACCCTGACCGGAGGGCCGAATGGAGAACACTGGAAAGGAGCTGCCAACAAGTGAAACGCTGTGCACCTAAGAGATCAGACACCGCCTCAAGAAAATGGAACAATACCAGCATAAGGTAAAGTTTATCACATATTGAGATATTCAAATGCAGCAAGATGAAAACCCAAAAGTAGGGAGCAGATAAGTGGAATCCTGCTGCTCTGAAGCAGGCGGTGGGCTCAGTGGAGGTGTGGGCATCCCACTTCGACTCTGCACAGCCCAAAACAAAATCTCCACAGCCAATTCACAGATATCAGCAAGCTAACATTCATACGGAAATGAAGCAAACATATTTTAGCAGCCAAAACTGCTTTGAAAGGGAAGAGCAAACACTTTTCACAGGGCTACAGCAACCGAGATGCCTTGACATTCACAGAGGGACACTTTGATCGCAGGGACAGAAATCAATATGCAGAGCTGCAAGCACACAGTTATGGTCTTCGGGGTTTGTTTTTGTTTTGTTTTTTTTTGAGACAGGGTCTCACTATATAGTTCAGGCCGGTCTTGAACTCACTATGTAGCCCAGGCTGGCCTCAAATGACCCTCCTGCCTCAGCCTCCCAAGTGCTGGGATTACAGGCATGCACCACCATGCCCAGCCTGATCTCTGGGTTTTTGACAAAGATGCCCAGACCGACCTGATGGGGTGAGAGTCTCTTCAGCAAATGATGCTGAAACCCTAGCAATCTGCACACAACGAAGGAATGCTTGACTCTCACCTCAACCACACATCAATATGATCTCAAAATGGACTGACGACGTAAACAGAAAATCCAAAGCCATGAAGTTTCTAGATATTTATGTAGGAGAAAAGTCTCTACAATCTTTGGGTGGGCAAAGTTTATTAGGTATTATCCAAAAGCACGAGCCATAAAAGAAAAAGGTCAGTGAGCAAGATTTCACTAAGAGTTGAAGGTTATTCCCTTCAAAAGACACAATTAAGAAGATGGGAGGCCAGCCACATACTGAGAGAATACACTGACAAAATATATACCCAGTAAAGGACTTTTACCCAGAACATACAGACGCTTTATACTCACTAAGAAGACAGCTTGGATAAACCAGGGTAGATGCAGACAGACACTTCACAAAAGGCCCCCGGATGTAAGAACGCCCAGAAATGTGCCCAGCATCGTCTGTCATCAGAGAAAAGCAAATGACAACCTCAGAGGCCCCACTGCAAGTCCACCTGGGGGTGGCAGATACCTCTGAGCCGCCCTTCGGTCCTGCTGGTCCTCCTCCACATCTGGCCCAAGCCTGGCACCTCCTCCTCAGAAACAGGACGTGCCGGAGTATTGGAGGCCTCTTCCGCAGCGAAGGCACAGGACTGTGGCTCTTGTCTGGCTCACTGCCCTCCACAGAGAGGCCAGTGTGACCGGGAACCAGTGGGGTCTAGCAAGCAGCCCATAAGAAGGAGACCCTTCCAAAAGCCACTGGACCCTCCAGCCCAGCCTCAAGGGGACAGCAGCTGTTTAACAGCTCTGTGAGGCCAACCAGAGTCACAGCTGAGCCAGGCACCTTGAGGGAAAATACTGAAGGTATTTACTTTTTTTTTTTTTGGTACCAGGGATCAAACTGGGGACCTTGCACTTGCAAGGCAGGTGCCGGAACCACTGAGCTAAATCCCTGGTCCAATACTGGCTGTATTAAGCTGCTGAGGGGCCGGGGATTTAGCTCAGTGGTTTCGCTGCCTGCTGCACAAGCACAAGGACCCGAGTTCAATCCCCGGTACCTAAAAACAACAACAACAACAACAAAAAAAACAGCAAGCTGCTGAGTTTGAGGTGATCTGTCACACAGCAACAAATAACTAATACACTAAGTCCCCGACTTACGAACATTCGAGTTGTGAACTTTCACAGATGTGCATGGACCTCAAATCACAAATGTTCACAGACACAAAGAAATCGTGGAAGCAGCTCATATGTCAGCCAGGCAGTGTCACAGCTCTGCTGCTGTGTGCTTTCTGTACAGTGCCACGGGTGTGAAGGGAATTCCGTCTTCCCTCCACCTCCTATTGCCGATGATCCTTCAGCTCCACCCTCTCCCACCGGCCCTCCCTCCTCCAGTAACGCTCTTGTCAGCTCACGCCATGCAAGCCCCTGGTGCCAGCTGCTGGACTGTACTATACCACTATTTTAAGGTGACTGTACAAGTAAAAATTGTTTATTTACAGTATTTGTGTATTTGGTTTTTTTATGCATTACACTGTATATTTGTGTCAAAGTTTTATTAAAACTCGCTTTGTCAGACTTATGAATGAATCCAGCTTACAAATGTTCTCCCAGAATGGAACTTGTTCACAAGTCAGGGACTTACTGTACACTGCTTAAGAGTCTAAAATGTAAAAGGAGACTATGCTAACTGCCAAAGAAGAGGCAGGGTGATTAGAGCAGTGTGACAGCTTCCCATAAAGTCATACACACACTGACTCAACCACTCCACTCGTGGGACGTAGACAGAAAAATGAACATTTACATCCTGTGTTGATCAGCTACTCATTCCCATAACCAAGTACCTGAGAGAAATCAACTTAAAGGAGGAAAGGTTTGTTTTGGCTCACAGTTTCAGAGGCCTCAGTCCATGGTCACTGGGTCCATTGTCTCTGAGCTTTGGGAAGGCAGAGCACCATAATGGAAGGTTGAATGGAGCAGGGCCTCATGATGGCCAGAGAGCAGACAGAGACCCCACAGAGGAAGGGGTGGGGACAAGATGGAGTGCCCAAGGTCATGCCCTCAAGGTCACCCTCTTCTACTAGGCCCCACCTCCTGCATCCATCACTTCCCCATAACTGCATCCAACTATGATCTTGTCAATGGATTGATCACTGATGAAGTCAGAGCCCTCATGATCCCATCATCTTCTGGAAGCATCAGCCAGTGACCAAGCCTTCAGCACACGGCCTGTGGGGGACATTTTAGATCTAGACCATCACATGTCCGAAGACTTGGAGACTGCAAGGTAGAGACCAGGAACAATGGAACTGTGCATCAAGAAGGTAAGACCTTCTGTCTCTTGGGTCCCCAGTTCCCCAAGCACAGGACTCCACCCCTTCTTTACCAAGCTTCTCTACAAAGAAAACTAGCTTTTGCTTCTCACGGTAAGCACTATGGATACACCAATCTGTGTGACCCCAGCTGAGGTCTCGTGAAACAGTCATATAATATTACCTACCTAAGACTACAGGTAAAGAAGACAGAGGGCCGGGGATTTAGCTCAGTGGTTCCCCCTGCCTGCTTTGCAAGTGCAAGGTCCCCGAGTTCAATCCCTGGTACAAAAAAAAAAAAAAAGACAGAACCAGATAGACACACAGGCAGGAGACACAGAGTGCTCATTACCTGAAAGGACATTAGGATATAAAATGCTGTGCTGATGTGTTTATCATGCTTAAAAGCACAATACGCTGCAAGCTGCCTGCTCTCAGGCCTGGAAATGCCTCACCCACTTCCTCTCTAGACAGCGCCTGCCTCGTGCTGGGTGAACTCTGAATCTTCCCAGCCAAGTGCCATGGCTGGACCTCTGGGGTGAAGATGGGCCAGCCGCCCTTCCTGCAGCAGCCACACGGACACCTGGCCAAGCTGATAAGCAAGGCAGAGTGAGGCCAGGCCAGGCCCAGATGGGCCGTCCCTGAGGACCACACCCGGAGGTGGAGGCTGGCACCAGGGGCTGCATCCCATCCCGCAGGCACCAGGTCCAAGAGCCAGCTAGGGCCTGAGCTGCCATGGAGATGCCAAGGTGCCCAGGTAGGGGCCAGGCTGCTGCAGGGAGGGGGCTGGGCCAGCCCTTGCTGCAGCTGCTGCCAGGGACAGCTCCAGCTGCCCACTTCGGGGCACAGGCAAGGCAGGGAGAGGCAGCAGACAAGAACTGGGATGATGGGTACAGAAAAAAGCCCCCACACACGCCTGCAGCTAAAGTCCAAACTAACACATGAGGTACAAGTAACGGGTCCCACCAACACACAGATCTTAAGAGAGGGCTCCTGCAGCAAGACGCTGAGACCTTAAGAGAGATTTAAAGTCCCTGTCACAACAAATCAGGGAGCAGACCCAGGCATGGTGCACACACCTGTAATCCCAGCACTCTCAGAGGCTGAGGCAGGAAAAACAAGAGTCAAGCCCAGCCTAGGTAACTTAATGACTTAGTAAGACTGTCTGAAGACTAAATAAAAAAGCACTGAGGATGTAGCTCAGTGCAAAGGCCCTGGTTCAATCTCCAGTTCTGTGAAAGCAAACAAACAAAAAAGAGCAGGTGCTCCGAGCCCTCCCAGGAGACCCCTAAGTAGGACACGCAGACACGGTGTGCGGTCTGCCCACTCCTCAGCCTAGAGGCTCCCGCTGGGACCCCTGAACCAGGGCCAAAGGGACGTGTGTTCCACAGCGCCCCCAGCATGTCCTTCCACCACCCAAGTCTCTTCAGGAGAACCCGCCACACCCCCGGTCCTGGACGGGTTCACCTCCACACACAGCTGGCATCCGGCTGTCAGGGAATGGATGATGAGCCGGGGGTGGGGGTGGGGGTGGGCGACCCTTCAGGAATTCATACTGTGACTGCGGCCGGGGGTTTCACAGTCCCAGCCACCCAGCACCAAGGACAGAGGACACCGTGCTGCAGAGGAGGCCTCCAGCGTCCTCACAAGGCAACACGGAGACCCGAGCTGCATCTGCCCAGGCCTGGTGCAGGATGGCGGGGAGGGGGCTTTCTGTGATGGTCTGGGGACAAAAACGCGGTGTTCTAAAAGTCACACCCCAGAGCCAGGGATGTAGCTCAATGGCACCATGCCTGCCTGGCCAGCACTAGGTCCTGAGTTCGATCCCCAGTCCCCAAAAAAATTAATTAAAAAAAAAAGTCACACCCAGCCTGGTCATCAGGACACTTGCTGCTTCCCTGCAAAACCATCAAAAGCATGTGGTCACAGCTAAAGCTTCCTCTTCCTTAGCAGCTAGCTGCAGGGGCCACTGCCTGCTGCGACAGTGCCTGCCCTGCTGGTCCGGCAGCCCCTCTGCACAGCCGTCATGAGCCTCGTGGAGGAGGGAGGCATGTCTGAAGGATCCTGTCACCCTCCTCAACCCCAAGCCACCCCCAAGTCATCCAGAAATTCCACTCAATACACAGCTGCTATCTAAAATGCCCCCAAAGGCACATGGGCTCCAAGGTGTGGCTGCTCACCGACGGGCTTCAGGAACTGAGAGGAGAACAAAGCCTCCACTAATGAAACTTCAACTTGAAGGCGCTGCTGAGAGGTGACAGAGGCAGGAGGCGGGGCCCACGCAGGCGGTGGGTGCTGGGGCTGACTCTGGGGACATCTGCTCTGGCTCTTCCCCTTGGCAGCCTCTTCCACCACTTTCTCCCACTGCCTGGCGTTCTGGAGCAAGCTGACCACACACTCAAACCTCTGAAACCATGAGCCAAAGCAAGCCTCTCCTTCAAGCTGTCATTCTCAGGATTTAGTCACAGGGACAGAAAGCGGACAGGAACAGTGACAAGTGTCTGCACGTCCCACAGCTACCCCGTTTTGCCCTGCAGAGGGCAGCACTGAGAAGCACCACTGTCCCCAGCTCCAGAAGGTGGCCCCAGAGAGGCCCAAGCATCAGGTCTGCTTCGGGGGACAAGGGATTCTTCTCTCCAGGGAGGCGAGTGGCTCCCCCTCTGAGTAACACTAAGCACAAGGAAAGGTATCCCTGGGACCTCCAAGGCCAGACTGAGCTGTCCCCTCACAGGCAGCCGGAGACAGCGGGAGCAGGGAGACTGTCCAGACCCATCCACCTTGGGGGAATCCTGCCAGCCTTGGCCCAGTCAGCACTGTTGGCAGCTGAGAGAAGAGATCAGCAGCACAAGACAACAGCCCGGAGCCTTGGGGCCATAACAGGCAGGAGACCATGCTGAGGAGGGCAGTGGCCCACAGGGGAGACAGCCGGACACCAGGACCAGCTCCATGGCCGTGGAGACGGCCCACCGTCCTGAGCTGACCCCACAGGCCATGTGGGCCCACTGTGCTGACGTCAGGTCAGAAGCATCCTCTCATCTCTGATGTGTGTGGTGCTGAGGAGGGGACCCACGCAAGGTGAGCGCTCTGCCACCAGCTACGCCCCAGTGAGCACCGAGCACCGACGCTCAGGCTCCCTCTGACAAGGGCACCCAGCAGGAGACAGGATGGGAGCAGGCGGAACTGGTACATCGGGCGATGCTACCAGGAATCGTGTCTGCTGCAGGCCCACAGCACCCACCGGGAAGTGGGCAGAGATCCCAGCTTGGGTCAGTGGTGTCACAGCTGGACCCAGACAAGCCCTGGGCACCGAGCCCGACATGCAGCAGGTGCACAGAGCATCACTCTGAGTGCAGCCGCCCCACCCCACAGCACACGCGTGTGCACATGTGAGTGTGCCTGCAGTCATGGAGCTGGCAGTGCCCTGCCATGCCCACCCCAGCCTTCATGTCCCACCTGCTCTGGGCTCCACCGTCTTGTTGGCGCCTTCCTCCACGAACATGAAGCGCCCTCCGCCAAAGTCCTCCTGGTAGTCAGACAGGTACAGCAGCGAGGTGTAGTCAAAGGAGCCATAGGTCACCTGCGGGAAGGAGCCAGGAGCTGTCGCCTGCTGTGTCTCGAGAAAGGGGGCAGCAATGGACCTGACCTCAGGGACTGCTGGGCCCTTCCCGCCCCCCAGCTGGCATCTTCTGAGCACCTGTCGGGGGCAGCAGAGAGGTTGGCACAAGGCTGCCTCCTTCCATGGGCACAGCAGTGCAGCAGCTGCATCGTCTCTTAGCTCCAGATGTGGGGCACTCCCAGACTTTTTACCTGCAGTATTGGGGGTTGAACCCAGGGCCTTCACACTGAGCTACATCCCAAGCTTTCTTTTTTTTTTTTTTGGTACCAGGGATCGAACTCAGGACCTTGTGCTTTCGAGGCAGGTGGGGGCACTGAGCTAAATCCCTGGCCTCCCAGCTCTTTCTTTATTCTTTATTTTGAGATAGGTTTTCACTAAGTCCCTAAATTGCCCAGGCTCAGCTCAAACTTGCAATTCTTCTGCCTCAGGCTCCCAGAGTACTAGAATTACAGGGATGGCCTGCCACAGCTGGCTTATATTACACATGTATTCAAAACAGTGAAACTTAAAACAAAGTACACCAGCTAGAAGTCATAGCAAAATAGCTCCAAAAGAAAAGAGCTCATCAGGTTTCAAGCAGCTGTTTCACTGAAGTGAACATCTGTGTTAGTTAGAAAACACAAACCAAGGGGCCGGGGATTTAGCTCAGTGGTTTCATCGCCTGCTGCGCAAGCGCAAGGACCTGAGCTCGATCCCCAATACCAAAAAAAAAAGAAAAAAGAAAAAAAAAAAAGAAAACACAAACCAACCTGGTATAGTGGTCACATCCATAATCCAAGCCACTCACTCAGGAGGCTGAGGCAGGAAGACCCCAAGTGTGAGGCCAGCCCAGGCAACTTAGTGAGACCTGCCTCAGAATGGGGGGAGCACTAAAAATGGATGTAGCTTAGTGCTAAGGCCCTGGGTTCAATGGAGGAAGGGAAGGGAAGGGAAGGGAAGGGAAGGGACAGAACAGATGTGACTTGGCTCCCTGATAGTCAGAATTTGGTCAAGGTGCCAGCAAGGCCAGAAGGAAGGGGCCCAGGAGGTAGCTGCCTCCTGCCCTATGCGAGGTCGGCTGTACAAGGGGAGCAACGGCGAGCCCACGGGGAGGGCTGGGAAGTGGAGACCTCCTGCCGTCTGCCCACGGAGACCTGGAGGGACCCCTGCTTCCAGCAGAGGACCTGCACGGGGCTGCGCCGGGCACCCAGAACCTGACCCTCGGGACCTCTCAGTCCCTCATCTGTGCTCCTGGCGCTTTATCCAGAAGGATCCCAAGCCACTCGGAATTTGCCATGGCGCAGGCGGCTGAGAGCCCTGTCTCTGGTAGAAAGGACAGGAGGGGCCTCTGGGGCCGGGCAGGGTGGGGCTGGTCCCTGAGAGGAGCTGGAAAGTGGTCCCTGCACATGGACTGGCGGGGCCTTGGGCTCACACACAGAAGACACTGGAGAACCAGGGTGGAGACCTCAGCACAGCCCAGCTGCCACCCACGGCAGACTCCAGACCCACAGGTCAGCAAAGGCCCTGGACAGAAGTGACGCGGAGTCCCCACGGGACAGCGAGCAGGCTGAGGCCGGACCCTGAGCAGAGGAGGCTGGCCGACGTCTCGGAGGGCCAGAGCGGGAGCGCAGCCTCTCCACGCTCAAAATGCCCAGGATCCAATGCAATGGCTCGATGGACAACGAACCCAATAAGCACGGTCAGCTCTCCAGGAAAAGGACAATCAGTAGAAGCCAGTCTCGAGGTGACCTGACGTTGGACTCACCAGACAAACTGCCAATCTCCACCTGCTAACTGGAGCATTTAATCCACATTTAGTTTTGGGGGGGGGTTTCTGTTTTTGTTTTTTTGAGACAGGGTCTCATTATGTAGCCCAGGCTGGCCTTGAACTCAAAGTGATCCTCCTGCCTCAGCCTCCTAAGTGCTAGGATTACAGGTGTGCACCACCATGCCCAGCTATTCCACACACATTTAATACTTACTGATAAACAAGGATTTGTACTGCACATCTCACATTTTATTTGTTTTCTGCATGTCTCCTCTCTCTTTTTTCCAGGACTACTTTGCACTGAGCTACATCCCCAGCCCTTTTTATTTATCTTTTTTTTTTTATCTTTTGCAGTACTGGGGATCAAACTCAGGACCTTGTGCTTGCGAGGCAGGCAGCGTATTTATCTATTTTGAGACAGGATCTTTCTAAGTCCCTAAACTGCTCAGGGTGAGTTCAAACTTTTAATCCTCCTGCCTCAGCCTCCCAGAGTGCTTTGATTACAAATGTGTTTTTCTTCCTCCATTCACTGGCTATCATCTTTTCTTGTGTTAAACATTTTCTAGTGCACTATTTTAACTTTCTTGTCACTTACTTTGTTTGCTTGTTTTCATTATCTTAGTAGAGATTTTAATAGCTTATTAATTTATAACTAATATAATGGAATTTATAACAATTTATATCAGTTCAAACTGATGCCAACTTTATTTCGATGCTATCTAAATAAGCATTTCCCATCCATAGTTCACCCTTTCTCTTCTCTTGCTGTGACTGTCATGTAAGTCCCAGCAACACAGTGTCAGCACAGACGTGGCTGCTTTGTGCTATTGTCCTTTAACTCAGACAGAAGAAAAAAGTGACCTCAAAACAAAAAGAACCTTTCACACCCTGTGCGCTTCCTTTGCTCACGTATACACCTTGCACACGGACCGGGTCCGGGTATGGCACCCTGTTTCCGGGCCCCCAAGACCCTCTTTAGGATCCTCACAGGGTAGGCTTGCTAATGAGGAATTCTCTGTTTTAATTTAATGTCTCAATCTCACCTTCATTTAAAAAATATTGTAAGGGCCGGGGATGTAGGTCAGCAGAGCCGCGTCTGCCTGGCAGGCGCAAGGTCCTGAGTTCGATCCCCGGTACCGGGGAAAAAAAATTTTTAACTAAAAATATTTTTTAAAGTTTAGATATAATTCATACATGATAAAATTTAACATTTAAAAATGTATAATTCAGCGGGCAATCGCCACAACTGTCAGATTCTAGAACGTCTTCATCACCCAGAAGGAAGCCCCATGCAGGAGCAGTCACTCCCTGGCTGTCCCATCCCTGTAAACCACAAATCCACTTCACACCCTGCGTGGCATTTGTGTTTGGTTTCATTCACTCCATGTTGCAACATGTATTAGCAACGCACTACTGTTTAGAGAAATGTATAAATTTTTTTTTTGGTACCGGGGATAGAACTCAGGACCTTGCACTTGCAAGGCAGGCGCTGGAACCACTGAGCTAAGTCCCTGGCCCAATGTATAAATTTTAGTTGAAAACTAAAATTTCATTTATTCATTTCCCAGTACTGGGAATTGAACCCAGGACCTTCACATTGAGCTACATCTATGGTCCTTTTTATTTTCTGTTTTGAGACAGGATCTCACTAAGTTACCCAGGCTTGGCTCAGACTTGCAATCCTCCTGCCTCACCTCTAAGAGTGCTGGGATCACAGGCATGCACCATGATGATCCGCTAGAAAACTAGCATTTTAACAAAGTGGCACCCCTAGAAATAAGACTCCCCCTTCCCCGGGATTTGCCACTGCTGTTATCTGCCTGTTTCACAGTCTTCTGAACTATTTCAGAGGGACCTGTGTTCTCTGTGTGAATGGGGTGGCCACAGGAGCCTCTGACGGCAGCCTTGGGTGCCCAAGGCCACTGGGGAGCAGTGGGAGGTGTTTACTAGGGTCCTCGATGAGCAGCCGGGTTTCTGGGTGCACACTCCCCAGAAGCTGCAACCCTGGCTGGCCTCTGGGGTTGATGCTGACCATTCCATCAGTCTCTGGTGCTTACCACGGTGAGACTACAGAGGCCCCTGGGCCAGGACCTGCTGGATTTTCTGGACAAAGACCAAAGCAGAGGCAGTAGCCACGCTTCTGTCTGTGAAAGGACAGAGGTTCTCAGCCATTCAAGAGAAACCAGGAAAAAAGAACGGAACAGGAGCTGGGCACCATGGTACACACCTGTGATGCTGGCCCTCAGGAGGCTGAGACAAGAGGATCATGAGTTTGAGGCCAGCCTGAGCTACACAAGAAGACCCTGTCTCCAAAAACAGAGGGGGGGGGGTGGAGGAAAAGGGGAAAAGGCGAGGGCAGACCTCTCGGTGGGGAGGCTGACTCCCAGTCCTGAGTCAGGAGCCACGAATTGTCCCCTCTACTCATGCAGTCCGAGGTCACGCATCAACAGTGAGGCTGGCACCGCCTGACAAGGGAACCTGGCTGCCTATTCTTACCAACCAAGAAACTTACTTCCTTTCTTTGGCTGCATCCGCCGGGAAAGGGCGCATCTAAGACCCAGAAAGGAAGACTCTAAAACGCCCACCAGGCAGCGCAGAGCCGCGGAAACCCCGAGCAGAGGGCCGCCAGGGCGCCCGCAGCAGCGCTCACCTTGTCCACGTGCGCGTGCCAGTACTCGTCGTGGGCCGTGCGCGCCTCCGTGCTGTTGATGCGGGAGAAGAACGTGGGCTTTGTCAGGCACAGCGCGGAGGCCCGGAGGCCAAACGCCTCGGTGATGGCGAGCTGCACCTTCCGCCGCACGTCCCTGTGGAGGGCACGGAGCGTCCGTCACTCAGGAGCCCGCTGGCCTGCGAACGGGGTGCTCTGCTGGTCCCCAGGGCCCGCACCCAGAGGGGCAGAACGGCGGTCATCAGGCACACACATCCCCCGCAGGACAGTGGGAACCGAGGGCGGGGGAAACGGCCACGGCAGCCACAGCCCTTTTCCAGGGCAGTGTGGGGCGGAGAAGGCCTAACCGAGCTGGCCCAGGCTGGGCCTGGGAGCCCGACACGGGAGGAGGGTGGTGCCCACCCTGGAATCTGGGGCAGACCGGCCACCTCAGACCCATGGCGGGGTCGGCCCAGCCCCTCCGCAGATCTGGGCCTCCGGTTCTGGGAGTGCGGGGCAGCAGGCCTGGACAGACGGACCCGGACCTCTCCACCGGCCTCAAACCTCCTTCATGTCGACCTGCGCGCGCGTGCGCACCCCCCCCCCCCCCCCCCCCGAGCTACCTGTGCACTCACACATACGTAACTTCCGGCATACATACCTACTCACATCATATGACCCCATATGCATACCACGTGCACGCATTTACACACGTGTGTGCGTGATACACGCACAATTACACAAAATAACGCTCTGTGCATGCATAGCTGCACATTCCACGCCAGCCCATGTGCCCACCACACATACTGACCTCACGCCTTCCTCCGTGCATACCCAGATATGTGCAGAGGCTACTGAGCCAACCCTCACACCGCTGCAAGAGATCCTGTGGGCCCGGCTGCTCAGGCAAGCCTGCGAACGCTCCCAAACCACCCCTTGCTCCCTCCACACAGGCCAAATGGCACTGCCCTGCAGACAAGGGGCGTTTGGGCAGGCGTCCGGCCCTCTTGGTGGCTCCTTCATGGGGACAATGTCCAGTGAGCTTCTGCTGAAGCCACAGCTGTGTCCAAAATGTTCTGCCCTGCAGTAGGGCACGATGCGTGTGTTCAATATCTCTGATCAACAGAAGCATAGAAATTATTTATGGAGATGTCATGTATTTTGTTGGCTTATTTTTCCTGAGTTTTGTTCACCTTCAAATTCTAATGCTATTCTTGCAAATAGCATTTAACAATTCTTTGGAGTTCAGCAAGTTGAAGGAACTTAAAAGTTTGCAACAGTCTTCAACTTTGTCATCAAACAAACGCACTTTCCCATAATGCACTGGGCAATCTAATAGTTATACTTCATTTTGCTCCAAACAGCAGATCATTTTGTTTTGTTTTGTTTTTTGAGGCAGAGTCTATGTGGTTCAGGCTGGTCTTGAACTCATGGCAATCTTCCTGCCTCAGTCTCCCGAATGCTAGGATCACAAGTGTGCGCCATGCCCAGTTTAGATCATTTTCTTTCTTTTTTTTCAGTACTAAGGATTGAACAAAGGGCCCCATGCATACTCAGCAAGCACCCTACCACTGAGCTACATCCATAACCCTTTTCGTTTTGCTCTGAGACAAGGCCTCACGGAGTTGCCCAAGCTGGGCTCACGCATGCACTCCCCCTGCCTCAGCCTCCTGACAGCTGGGATACAGGCATGTGCTTCTCACCACTTCTATAGCAGGCCCTTGTCTTTTCTTGTCAGATCCCTCCTTCTACTTCTATAGGTACAATCGCCCGATGACTTGTCAGACTCCCGCCGGGCTCACCACACAGCACCCCCAGGACTGCAGGAACGACGCGCACTGAGATGCTCTTCCTCAACAGGAGCCACGAGGACTGGGGACTTCTACGGTTCCTCCCGACTCCAGGATCAGGCGTGCACTGCGTGAGCAGCTGAAATCCCACGCAGGTCGGGGAGCTCGCTGGCCACTGGCTCACCGGACCCCACAGTCTCTTCCTCGTTTCTCTGCTTTGTAGCTGTGGAGGCCAAAGGAGGATCACCTGACATTCTGCATTGGAAATATTATTCACATCTAAAAATACTCAGTTGCTCTTAACTATAGCTCTATAAGTTCCCATTTGCCTTACAAATACTGACATTTTTGGAAGCTTTAATTAGTTCAAATGTTTTATTGTGAGAGACTGATTGGCGATGTCCTTTCCTTTTTTCTCCTTGATAATTTCAAATCTTCACCTGAATCCTAATCTCAACAGGTGGTCTTGGGCGACCGGATGAAACCAATGTTTATTGTTTTCCACCTTTAATCCTTGTGCACATTTCTGCAGTTGCGCTCACATCCCAGTGACGATCTCCTCACTTCCTGTCCCAGCGGTGAGACTGGCTGCCACCCCGAGACAAAGACCTCGTTCTTCCGCACTGACTCCTGGTCACCGCTGCCCAGGCTCAGTGTGACATCCATAGCTGCTGTCTCTGCTTCCTGCAGTTCAGGAAGTTCACGACCTCGATACTCAAGCAGGACATAAAATCCAACTTTGTTTTCCCTTCATTCTGGTACTGTTACGTCCCATAAACCGATGAACTTCCACATACCAAAATATCACACTTTCTCTCTGAGCAGGTGGATGCACACCAGCAATAGGCACAGTGAGTAACCAGCGAAGACCGTGACACAGAGGGTCACATGGGACAGTCACGGCCAAGCTCTCAGCCCAAGAGCCCCATACGGCACAGCTCAGGGTGAGGCAGGCCCTCGAGAGCAGTGGCCAAGACCCGCTGGCCCTGACACCTGGCACTACAGCCTGAATGAGCAGCCTCCGCTGCAGTGTGGCACTGACCGACTGCACCTCGATGCTGCTGCTTCTCATGTACAGCTAACCATGCCCTTTGCCCAGGCTGGACAGAGGCCTGGCCTTGCTCACCAGCTGTTTCCCTGGAAATGTGACGGGGGAAATGGCAGCTGTTTCCAGGACACGGTTGGGGTGCAGTGACCTGTCATCTGGAGACAGGGTCTGAAGGGTAGGCATGGGGCCCTTGCAGTGAGGGCCAAGGTATATCTCAACCACACCTCACACGCAACCTATGCAGTGATGAAATTACATGGAACTCAGCCCTCACACAGGAATGCACAAGGCAAGGCTGGGGACCCCACGGGACCTGCAGGCTGTTCCTGTCTGCTCTGGGGACAGCTATCACACGGCTGGGCAGCTCGCTGGTGGCGGAGCTAATAGTATGGGGAAGGCAGGCTCTCCCTGTTATACTTTCAGGGATAAGTAGTGGATATGTATCCTGTACTCTAAATGAAAAGTCCCCTTTTATTTTTTTTTTGGTACCGGTGATCAAACTCAAGTCCTTGTGCTTGTACAGCTGGTGACGAAACCACTGAGCTAAACAGTCCCCAGGAGGTGTCCCGCCTCTAGACGAGGGCCCTGTGTGAGGCAGGTGCTGGGCTCACCAAGGAGGTCCCAGGGCTGCCTGGGGCTGTCACAGAGCCGAGTCCACCTGGAGCCAGGCTGAATCCCGCCCCACTGCCACCTCATCTCATGCGGGGCCAGTGCAGGTGGCATCAGAGGAGCAGAAGCTTGCGTCTCAGGCCCACCCTCTCTTCCACAGCTGCCATAGCAACCGTGCCCCTCCTCCTGCTTACCGGTACAACTGGAAGTCCTCTTCCGAGAAGATGGTCTGTATTTTATCCCCAAAGAATCTGTGAAAAGATAAGCAACATTAGCCAATGAATCCATTTACTAATCCTTGTTTCCTTTAAAGTTAAGTCTTTCCTCAACAAACCACCAAGCCCTTGAAAATGAACCTATTCCAGGGCCGGGGATTTAGCTCAGTGGTGCCACACCTGCCTCGCAAGTACAAGGTCCTGAGTTCAATCCCCATACCAAAAAATAAAAAATGAACCTATTCCATTATCCTAGAGCTGCTTGGCTCCCTCAATAATCCCTTCACAAGAGGACGAGGAGCCAGGTATGTCTGTAATCCCAGCACTCTGGGAGGCTGAGGCAGGAGGTTTGCAAATTCAAACCCAGCCTGGGCAACTTAGTGACTCAGTGAAATCCTGTCTTAAAAAATTTTTTTAATAAAAAAAAAAAGTCTGGGGATATAGCTTAGTGTGAAGGCCTTGTACCACATCCAGAAAAAAAAAAAAGGAGGGGGGGGGAGTGAAGGAATTTGGCAACAAAAAGAGGAAGATGACAGTGACCAAGGGCAGATTTCTTGGGGTTTTTCAGCTCTCACAGGCACCCCCTGCCAGCTGGTCTGCAGCCCTCAGACCCTCCCCTGCCTTCCTTCTCCAACCTCTTCCTGCAGTCCCACCCACGGGGCCACAGCAGCCCCAAGCCTGACAGCAGATTCTCCCCTAAAGACCAAGGACAAGGACTCCAACCTGGAACAGGCTCTGAGAAACCTGTCCTCGATCTGGAGCCCCATCCCTCAGCCTCTGGGCGGCTGGCCTAGAACACCACAGGCCCTTGCCGGCTGCTCCCCGCCCGGGCCACCCCTCACCTGTACAGGTTCACAAAGTGCTTCCCGACAGACAGGGCCCCCGAGTGCAAGTCCAGAATGGACGCCTGGAAAAGATGCGTGGCAGCTAAGACAGGGTGACCACTGCTTTCAAAGCCCCCGAAGCTAAACCCAAGTCCCAGAGGCTCCAGATCTGCCCAAACCCAGCTGCTCTGATGCCTGAAGAGCCCAGTGCTCTGCAGACAGTGTACACTCAGCCCCCAAAGGCACCGTGGGCTCCTGCGCAGCCACAGGCCTGCTCCTCCTGCCTGCTTTTTCTTCCTTCCCTTCCCTCCCTCCAGCCTCTGCTCTTCCCCGCTCTCCCTTCTGCCTCCCGTGGCTCTGCTGGGATCACCTGACAGGCATTACACACTGTGTGTGGAAAGCATGCAGCACAGTGGGTCTGACACAGGTCCACCCACGAAAGCACCTCACAATCAGACAATAAACACGTCCGCCATGTCACCCTGAATCCTCACACCCCTCTCCGCGGCGACCCTCCCAGTTACAGGGGATCAGGGACCCTTTCTAGTTCAAGGTGGATGTATCAGAGGCACGGGTGGCAGAAAAACCATCCATGGCAGGCACTGTGTGGACAACGAAGCTGTTTGTTATGCGAGTACAGGCAGCAAGTGGGCTGAATCTGAAAGAAGATTCAGCATGGAGGGAGAGCAAAGACTTAAAAAGGGAAGCACTCAGCCAGGGATTAGCTCAGTGGTGCCACCTTCTGCTTCACAAGCGCAAGGTTCCAAGTTCAATCCCAGGTACCAAAAAAACAAAAAAGGGAAGACCTGCCAGGTGTTGGTATGGAGTGAGGAGTCTGGGGGCTGCGTGCCTGTACTGCCGGGCGGTACAGATGTTTCCTGGAACCGAGGGTGGTGTAGCGGCTTCTTCTACAGCGAGCAAGCTCTTCCCGCCAGTGCCGAGCTAGTAGACGGTGACCAGGCCAGGTCACGTCTCCAGGCATGACAGTGGAGGGCCCACAGGCCAGGCTCTTCCCCTGCACCACCATTCTGGGACGTGCTAGTGCTGGCCCTGAGCAGACTCCCTGCTTGGATGCCTCGGTCTGTCATCCACTGCCTAAGGAAGGCCGCCAGGTGGTTCCGGCTGGGGCTGTGGCCAGTGGGGCTCTGCACACACCAGCCACAGGGCCACGTCCGTGTATATCTTCAAAGCTCTTGGTGAAAACCTCATGTGGGGACCCCCCGGTCCTGACTTTTTATGGAACTGCCACCCACCCACACCCTGGGAGGGGAGCAGCCACAACACTGGCCACACCTTGGCACCCGAGTCAGGTCATATTCAGAGTCCAGGTGGCTACACACCTCCGTGGCCCACGGCCTCGCGCAGGGGGTGACAGCCCCACAGTGTCTGTGCAGCCTCTGGCTTCAGGTAACAGGGAGTGTGGGCTCAGCCCTCCCTGCAGCTCTGAGGCTCTCTTGTGGGCAGAACTTGTCCCGGCACCTCACTGGGCTCCAGATCCCTCACTCAGCTCCCTTCTCCAACACCTCCCTGCCCTCTACTCCCCACCTGGAGCATCTCATGTGACCGTGTGACCTGCTGTCCAGCAGGCTGTGACACACGAAGAGTTGGTCGTGAGACAGCATGGGCCCTGCACGCACACCGCCTGCCCTTCGGGACAGCAAAGGTGAAAGGCAGAGACAGCCAGGCAGAGGCCAGGTTCCACTCACCCCTCCATCAGATCCGCCCAGGGAGAACCCCTTCTCCGCCACTCTGTGGGGAAACAGCCCTGCGTCAGAATGCAGTGAACAGAATCACCTGGAAAGTGTCTGGGCAACAGCAAAGTTGGCTGCTCAGTTCTGCTGTGTAAACAAAGGTGCAGACCGGAAGACTCAGCTTTCACACCTAGGCAAGCACGTGAGCACATGCAGCCTGGCTTTGAAGTGACCGTCTCCCGATGTCAACGCCAACCAGGCACTCAGCCAGCAGCCGGAGGCACCAGACTGCTCCCAGGTGGGTGAGGGCTTTGATACTCCCTGCTCAGGACAGGGGAGACACCCAGGTCAGCCCAGCGAGGACCACCCTGGTCAAGAACTAGCAGCTTTATGAACATTTTGAGGCTGTGTGAGGACCCCAGCCCCTCAGTACAACACCATAACCCCACTCCCAGCAGGAGGGTGTTTGTTGTCAGAGGACAGCCAGAGAGGGCTCCTGCCTGTGGGAACCCCCTGAGGGCCAAACCAGTTCTACACACTCAACCAGCGGTGTCTAACCAGTTGGTGGGAAAATCAAAGCTTTAAGATCTTGATTTTAAAATCTCAACAGGAAAAAAAAATAATAATAAATAAATAAATAAATAATAAAATAAAATCTCAACAGGATAGCTGGGCGTGGTGATGTTCACCTGTAATCCCAGCACTCGGGAGGCTGAGGCAGGAGGACCACTGCAAGTTCAAGGCCAGCCTGGGCTACATAGTGAATTCAAGGCCAGCCTGGACTGCAGAGTGAGACCCTGCCTCAAAAAACAAGAATAAATAAAATCTCAACAGGGAAAAATGCAGCACCCACTGCTTTCCAAGCGGCACCTGTGCACTTTGGCAAGGGTGGCGGAGGGACAAAAGCCCCGAGCTTCGGAGTGGACCCTGAAATGTCCTCTGGGGCTGCTGGCTGAGGCTGGGGAGCACGGCCCGCCCCACAGCCCTGCACCCAGGCTCCTGCAGAAGCGCAGGGGTCCTCAGGCCAGAGGAGGTCACGCCTCCGGAAGGTTCTGTCTGCAGGGTCTTCTCAAGGGCCTCCGTCCACTGCATGGATGCCTGCCCCACCCTGGGACGTACATGAGGGACCCTAGTGGGACAGGGAGGCCCCAGCCCACCTTCCCCTCGCTGACTTAAACCTGAGCCACAGATGCCCGGGGCAGAACACAGCCTCGATACCTGCGAATGCGCTCTGCTTCCTCCCTGGAGATGACCACGTCGGTGACGCCCCGGCCACACTTCCTGGGCGTGCAGCCTACAGGAAGACAATTGGGATGCGGTGGAGAGCAGGGCTGCGCGGTGCTTCCCCAGGATGGGGCCAGCCAGTGTCCCCAACACCCGGCCCCACGTGAACTCCAGACAAGCAGCACAGCTCCTCACAGGCCCCTTCCCCAAGCCCAGCCCCCAGGAAGCCACAGGAGCCTCCAGACCCAGAGCCAACAGCAGCCTTTCGGAGCGCGGGCCGCAGGCCCAAGAGCCTGTGTGCACCACGGAAGGCCCATCTGGCACCAAGGAGGGGCTTAGAGCTCCGGCCACTGTCCTCTCAGGGCAGCGTGCCCCTCGCTCTCCCTGTACCCTGGGGACCTGAAGACACTGAGAGGAAGGTGGCTGAGAACCTCAGATGCAGACAGGGCCAGGGGTAGGTTGGTCAGGGGGCAGGGGTCTTGGTGGGCGGGTGAGGTCGGGGCTATGACAGAAAGGAGCCAAGACCCAGAATAACACCAGAAGTGAGCCCAGCAAGTGACTGGTCCTTGCATTCTGGGTACAAAGGGCAGACCAGCCCCCCAACCCAGCTGGTCCCAGGACTCACTCATCCTGGCGGAGAAAAGGGAGCCCTTGAACTCTGGGACACACTAGGTCTTCTGAGTTGCTGCTTGCTTCTCACCCTCCACCCCTTGCCTGATTCCTGCCTGGAAACAAACTTGGAGCCAGAGGGTGGGGCCGCTGCCCCAGGACATCTGCATAAGTGTGAAATGCATGCCCTAGGGCTCAGACCCTGGGGTCACAGGGTGTCAGGCTGGCCAGTAGCTCCAGTCTCTGCCTGTTCTTCGCTGACTCAGCAGAAGGGCCACAGTTACACAGGGCTAAATACGCTAGCAACAGAACTGCTTTACTTCAAAAACAAAAGCCCAGGCATGTTTTCTATAAGGTGTGGCAGTGCACAACTGTAATCCCAGCCCTCTGGCAGGCTGAGGCAGGAGGCTCAAGCTCAGTCTGGGCAATTTAAGGAGATCTTGTTTCAAAATTTAAAAAAATTAAAAAGAGCTGAAGATGTAACTCAATCCAAAGGTCCTGGGTTCAGTTACCAGTACCACAATTTTAAAAAAGCAACAGCAGAGGTGTGGCAAAGCTAGGATCACAGCAGCAATCAGGTGCTTCCGCCTAACAGGTGTCAGAGCACGACTCGGCAAATGTCACGAGCAGGTGTCCTGTGCATGGGCACAGTCTGCAACCACATACTCCCAGGTATCAGTCAGTCAGGTCACCTGGCTCCATCCTGGCCAGGCTGGCTTTCAAGAAGAGCTACCTACCCAAACTAGGGGCCTGTTTAATAGGGAAGCAGCGACACAGCCCACCTTCACTCCGCTCATCGAGGGGACGGGAGAAGGGAACAGTGTACAGGCTTCAAGTACGCCCTAACTTCCTACTATAAAATATGCGTAACACAAAATTTACCATCCTGGCCAGTTTCCAGTGCACAGTTTGAAGGCCTCAGGCACACACAGTGCTGTGCAGTCACCACAACTGTCCCTCCGCAGGACTTCCCATCTTGCCAAGTGAAATCCTGTCCCACTAAACATTTCTAATGTTGATAAATTATTAATTGGGCAGGAACAGAATTTTGTGTGCAGTTGTGTCAGAAGGTTGAGGCAGGAGAGTTGCTTGAACTTAGAGCAACACAGAGAGGTCGTCTTATAATTATATATCCATATGCAGAGAGACAGACAGCCTGGACACTCCAGGGCCAGGTCTTGAGACACAGAGTGACCACACAACAGAAGCACGGCTGTTTCCCCGGGACCCTGCCCAGCAGCTTCCCTCCTCACTGTGCACAGAGCTCCGGGGTCCCCAGGTCACAGCAGCTCCCCTTGGTGGAAGAACTTCGCAACCTTTTCTTGGTTCAAGTCCAAAGCATCACTTGGAATACAAAATAAATGAATTCTGTCCTAAAAACACAGTGGCACGTGCTAGGCCTTAAAAACTGAGAGTGCAGGGGCCGGGGATTTAGCTCAGTGGTTCCACCCCCTGCCTCGAAAGCGGAAGGGACCCGAGTTCGATCCCTGGTACCTGGTACCAAAAAAAAAAAAAAAAAAGAAAAGAAAAACTGAGAGTGCAGCCAGGTGGTGCAGAATGCTCAGGAACACAGCAGCCAGAGAAGGCCCACAGGCACCCACCATGGGGTGTGCGCTCCAGGCTGCCAGCCCTGGCCAGCCTGGTGGCCCTGGCACTGTGGCTCCTTCCTCCTGCCCTCACCCAGTGCCATCACTGAGTGCAGAGCTGTGACTTGGGGCCCAGGACACATGATGCAGGGCCCTCCACCAGGGACATGTAAGTCGCCATGTTCTCTGTGACATTCTCTACAATCAGGCCCCAACTTTCTCCTCCTACCTCTCCTACTCTGTCATTGGACATCACTGCTTGCTAAACCACTGGCCATGCCTTATGGCAGCACCCTGGCTGCACGCCCAGGCCAAGTGTGGGCTGGCCTACGGGGGCGGGGAATAGCTGCTGCCCCTACACACCACTTCCAACCTGACTCCCCCACAACTCGTCGCAGCAAAAGACAATATCGAATTTCATCTCATCCTTTCTCCTTCCTGAATCCCCTTGGAATCCACGGCACTGTACCTTCGAATCTTCGGTAGCCATCATAGTCCTCAGAGCAGGGCACTTCAATGAACCTGCCCTCCAGGACCTCACCACGTCGGGCCAGGACCTGGGCAACACCATCATCGGCCCCCAGGCGGCTCCAGATCAGGATCAAGGCCAGTGCCAGGGCAGCCCCCAGGCCCAGGCTCTTCAGCCTCGCCCTCCATGCCTCCCTCAGCTCCCGGTCCTTCTTGGTGCTAAGAACAGAAAACACAACCACCATCACTAGAATGCAGCTGGGCATGAGGACAGAGGAGACCCAGGTGCAGCCAGGGCCAGAGGGCAGCTTAAGCCCCAGGCTTTGTTTTCCATGGTGCAGATTAGGGGGAATGCTTTTTAGGAAACCCTTAGGGCAAAGTTCTGTGTGACACACATTGCAGGATGCTTTTCTGTCTAGATAAATACAGCATTCTATATTAACCATTCATTATTGACAAAAGCTGTTAGTGCTCCAGAAAATTTATGTTAAAAGGAAATTTTTAAAATTTATTAATTGAATGACTTTAATATTATTGAAGGAAAAGGAAAGACATAGGTTTATACCTGAAATATTCTTTGGGGGAGATTTGTTTTGGGGAGAAAGTGGAATATCAATAAAAATTTCTTTTTTTTGGGTTATTCAAATGACTCTAAAGAAAACACCAAGGAGGTGTCAAAAGTTGTACCCAAATCTAATACATTAAATACTGCACCATGTTTTAAATGTCTATAATGGATGTAACACATTTCTACCTCAGTAGAGAAGAATTTGTTAAAGATTTGTGATTTTATAGGCTCTGCAAACAAAATGGAACACAAATATGATATGGCGAATAATGCTAATCACTCTTTTTAAGATGTGTGCTCATTTCAATAATAAAATGTTGACTGCTGGATCGAGTCTTTACACATCTTTGTATGCTCCCAATTGCTTTTGTAGTATTTGTCATAAATACTTTGATTCTAAGACAAAATTTCAATTATATTTTAAAAACTTATCCATATGTAAAATAAGTGTTTTGAATATATGTTTTAGGATGAAGTGGTGAATGGGGATGGTTTAAACTTTATCTTTTTCCTCCATAAATAAATAGAAAAGAATCACAAAAACAAATTTAGGTTATTCATGCTTAATGAATCATAATTGCAGCAAGCATGACACATTTGAGATCTAGAATCCAAGAGCAGCTGAGATAAAAGGGGTAAAAATCTTCTCAAGAACAAACTAAACCATTCAAAAGTTATTGTGCTGGGTGTGGTGCACCCCTGTAATTCTAACACTTGAGAAATTGAGGCAGGAGGATCCCCATGAATTCAATGCCGATCTGGGCTACATAGTGAGTCAAGGCCAGCCTGAACTACATAATGAAACCAATCTCAAAAAAAAAGTTATTGTGGGCCAGGGATTTAGCTCAGTGGTTTCACCGCCTGCCTTGCAAGCGCAAGGACCCAAGTTCGATCCCCGGTACCAAAAAAAAAGCAAAAAACAAACAAACAAAAAAGTTATTGTAGCCTGTCTAGGGCTCAGGAATCTTCTTGGTATTTTCTAATTGATGAGGTCAATGTGGAAGAGAATGAAATAAGGCAGTCCCCAGGAGAGCAGAAATAAAGCAAACAAATGGTTTTCTTGCATGCTAAGAGATATCTCACTAATAATTCTAAACCCACTATCAACTACAAGACTTAAAATTCTAGGGCCGGGGATTTAGCACAGTGGCACCTTACCTGCCTTGCAAGCGCAAGGTCCTGAGTTCGATCCCCAGTAACAAAAAAAGATTTAAAATTCTCAAACTAAGCGATTCCTGTCATCCTTTACAGCCTCAGTCAGCTTTGTGCTCTGGAAGTGAAGGTGCTCATACAGGGCCTTCCCAGCTGCTGGGTGGGCTGCTCTTACTCACGGTTGTGTCACCCACCTGAATTGTGTCCAGCCCAAACACAGCGCATCTCACCTAGCGGCAGCGGTACCGTGAGAGGTCCAAATCCCCCTCCCTTTGTGCCACCTGGGTGGCGTCTGTCTCCACTCTGCCTCCTGCTCACTCTCTGGCTGTCCTGGCATCCGCCTCTTCCCAGCTGCTGACACGTGGACAGACACCTGTCCCTATATAGGGGCTCCGCCCAGGTCTGGGCTGTAGTGGGATAGGTGTGGTGGGCACAAGGCCGGCTTTCGCTTAGGAGGTGAGAAAGACTGGGGCGTGCGCACGGGCAGGGAGGTCCGGCCTGCAGGCATTGCGTGGGATCCCATAGGCTCTAAGACCTTCTCCAGTGCAAGCGCAACCTGCTCACTGCCCGGTGCGCAAACACTGCAGGGAGCCCCCCGCGAACTCTCCCACGAGTCGGGGTTGGGCTGAGCAGCCGCGGGGGACCTTGGCTCCCCGCAGAGCTCCGCCCTCCCGGGAGACCCCGCCCACACCATGCCCCGCCCATCATGCTGGCCCCGCCCCACCGCCCGTGGCCTCCCAGAACGCTGCGCCGCGCGCTCCCAGCTACCTGCTTGGGCGCCGCCGCTCGGCAGTCCCGCTACTTTCGGCCGTCCTGGGCGGGCCCCTCCGCTGAGGCGCCATCTAGCCGGGCCGCCGCGGAGCCAGGCGGGAAGCGGGAGGCGCCGAGCCAGGGACGAGCGCCGCGACTGAGAGAGAGACAGGCGCCGTGCGGCTCCGCGGGAGCGACGCGCTCGGCGCTCGGTGCGGCCAGGCGCGAGCAATCGGCCGCCGAACAGCGGGAGGGGCGGAGCCTGCTTCTCCAGTGGCGCCGCGCACCTGGGCGCTGGGCGCACCTGAGGCGGCTGCGGGTTGCTGTGCGGTGAGTCGGGCGGCTGGGCCGGACCGAGCCGGACCGCAGTCTTTAGGTCCACAGCGCGCGCTGGGGCGGCCGGGAGTGCTCGTGGGTCTGGGGCTCTGAGGCCAGGACTTCAGGGCCCTCGCCAGACCCAGCAGGTGGAGTTACCCAGGGCAGGGCTAACATGCTGAGTTCTCCCCTCACCCAGCCAATCCTTTGTGCTTTTTACTAGATAGGAAAAAAATGAACTCTGCTGTTTCCCCCGGCGGGTTTATTGTCATCCAGATGCTTTTATTTTAATATAAACTACAGTCAGCTCTGATAAATTTGGGGCTTGTTCCCTTTCCAAGTTATCATTCCCTTATTTTTAATCCGAGCAGGTTTTCTCTGATCTGGAGTAAAGCTTGCAGTTTTTTCCTCCCTACAACCAAACCGATCTGTGACCTAGAAATGTGGATTAATTTTAATGTCCAAAATTAAATTGAGAATAAATTTCCTATGAAAACATTGGTCGTGGAGTTGGATAAAAATATTTGGAGACACCTTCCTGACTGTATTTTCCAATGTAGTGTATTTGAGAACCTTTGGCTGGGGATGCTGCTCAGTGCAAGAGCACTAGCATGTGTAAAGCCCAGCGTACAACCCCAGCACACACACACACACACGCACTCACACTGTTTTCCAATTGTGTTGCTGAAGATCATAACCATCTCATAAGAAAACTGGTGCTGTTCTATATTAGGGGCAAGTGGACAAATAGCAAAAGTTTCTGTATTTGAATATGGAGATAGACTTCTCCATTTTCTTGTTAGAATTATGAGTTTCTGCTAAGTTAATAAAGCAAAACTAGCTGATATCAGAAGTGAAACAGAAAGTGTTAAGGATGGGATGGAGGAAGAAGCCACCATTTGTTTGTTTGTTTGTTGAGACAGGGTCTCACTATGTATTCCAGGCTGACCTTGAGCTTATTATGTAGCCCAGACTAGCCTCGCACTCATGATGATCCTCCTGCCTCAGCCTCCTGAGTGCTGGGATTACAGGTGTATGCCCCCATGCCCATCCCACCACACTTATATATAACTCTGGTTTCTCTACTAGGAAGAAGTCCCTGAACAGAGAACTTGTTATAGGAGTTCACAGAAAATACTGAAATGTCAGGCTCCACAGCATTTAAGATGAGACTAGTTCATTTGGACTTTAAAGGAGCTCCACCAAAGGTTTCATACCTTTCAGAGGTAAGAACTTACTTTTGCCTCAAGAGAATCACCTTTTGCCTTGGGTTTGGTCTTTAACATTGCCAGCAGTAATCTGTGGAACTGGGCACTTGTAACACAACCATAGGGCCCAAGGTTGGGGCAGGTGTGGGAACAGGTGTTTCATTTTTCCCACATCCCCTCACAAAACCAGACAGAACAGCCAGGGTGGCACAAGGAACAAAAGAAAGGACAAAACCACAACTTCTTTGTCGTGGGTTGAATTGTGTCCCCACGCACACATACCAAAAAAAATAAATTCAGGGGCCGGGGATTTAGCTCAGTGGTTCTGCCACCTGGTTCGAAAGCGCAAGGTCCCAAGTTTGATCCTCAGTACCAAAAAAAACAAAAACAAAAAAAAAGATAAATTCAATCTCAACCCCCGATACCTTACAATGTGACCTTATTTGGAAAAGTTTTTATAGGTGTATACAAGGTGAGATGAGGTTGTACTGGATTGCAGTGATCCTAAATAAGAAGAGGGGAATTTAGATACAGAGTTGTATAAAGATGCCAAGAAGATCTGCTGGGAGGATACCGGTGATGACAGAAGCAGACTGGAGTGATGTAGCCACAAGCTAAGGAACCCCAACAGTTGCTGCAACCTCCAGAGGCTGGGAGGGACAAGGCAGGATCCTCACTTGGAGCCTGCAGAGGGAGCATGCCTCATCAACACCTGGATTTGGGACTTCTGGCCTTTAGAACTATGAGAGAAATTTCATGGTCTTTTAAGCCACCCAGTTTGTGGTCAACAAAACTAGGAATCAGCTATCCCCGTGAATTCAAAAAACTGAAATAGGTGGCTCCATTGCCCATGTGGGGTTAGCAACCTGGCCCAAGGTAGGCACAAGAAAAAGGAAAATTCCAATGATGTTAAGACCAAAGGCCTCAGAAGATAGTCCCCAAATAAATGTCTTCGATAGCAAGAACCTAAGGGAAGGGCCGGGTATTTAGCTTCAGTGGTTCCACTGCCTGCCTGGCAAGCATAAGGTCCTGAGTTTGATTCCCGGTACCAAAGAAAAAGGAAAGAACCTGAGGGAAGGTTTTACTCGCACTAGTTTGAGTACAAAGACTCGGGGCGGGGCGGGGGAGGTCCTGCTCTGCAAGGCCACAGGGCTCTCAGAAACAGGTAACAACTTCCTTCCAGAAGAACAGAGCCTCACAGTAAGGACAAAGTTTGGGAAAAGAATCCACATTAAACTAAGCAGGTGACCAAGGGTGAAGGAGAGAGAGAGCTCAGATACCAGGGAGAGGGGTCCAGAGGATGCAGAGACCAACAAGCACTGCAGAAACTATGACCCGGCGCCTGTAGAGAAGGTGCCTGGGGGTGGTCCATCTCTACCCTGAATGTAAAAACCTGTTCTTAAAAATGAACCAGTAGCAAGTGCCTGTGATCCCATCACTGAGAGGGTGGGGCAGGAGGACCACAAGACGTCATTCAGGTCAAACCCGACCAGACCCTGGGTTCATCCCTCAGTGCTGCCCCATGGCATGGTGCACAGGGAGCACAGGGCCACAGAGAGATGAGAACACCATGATAGCCAAAGGAGATGAAAGGGGCTAGAAGTGATAGAAGCTAGGAAAGACTGGCATAAGTCGGAAACCAAAGTCCGGAGATGTGATGATCAGACAGAAAGCAGACGTGAAAGGGTTGCCTGTGGAGCTCATGAAAACATGATGAAGAAAAAATTCAGATAGGAAAACTAAGCTGGAAGACGCACAAAGGTGACGAGACACCCTGGAGAGTGCAGTGTTTGGGAGTAAATGACCAAAAAAAGAAAGTTCCAACATGAAGACAAAGCACTGTGCCCGTGCCTGCCTGGCAAGCACAGGGTCCTGAGTTCAGTTCCCAGTACTGGAAAACAAGCCCTGTGACAAGTTGATAGGTGCAGGGACAGGCACAGAACTTATGTGTAACTGGGGTCCTTGGTTCTGTTACCTTGCTGCATGACAAGTCACCCTAAACGTGAGCCTTAGGACCACAGCCGGCCACCCCACATTTCTGCAGGTTGGCTGGGTGGTTCTGCGGGTCTGAGCCAGGCTACCTCGTGTGGCCACAGTCCCGGGACAGCTAGACACCCTAATGGCCCCAGATGGCCTCACTCAGGTGTCTGGCCATTTGTGTTGACTGGCAGCATCTTGACCTCCTCTGCGTGTGTTCCCCAGGCGGCCAGGCTTCTGGAGAACAAGGCCCTGCTGCCTCTCACTGTTGGGAAAGTAGATCCCAAGGCCAGCACTCCCTCTCGATGGGAGGGCTGAGTAATTCTGTTGCCACGTTTTCCATATTCTCCTGAAGAAGACAACCAAAGCAGTAGTTCAAAATTAATGGTAAGAAACTACAACTCAAAAATACCTTCCTAAATGGCCAGGGATGTAGCTCAGTGGCACCATGCCTGCCTTGCAAGCACAAAGTCCGGAGTTTGATCCCTGGTACTGCAGAAAAACAAAAACAAACAAAAATACCTTCCTAAAACAAAAGAATACTTGAATCTACACATTGAAAAAGGATACTGTAAGGCTGGAATGTAGCTCAGCAGGGCAGCGCCTACCTGGCAAGTGCAAGGCCCTGAGTTTGACTCCTGGCACCAGAAAAAAAAAAAAGAAAGAAAGAAAAGCATACTGTGTACCTGGACCTTTTTTTTTTTTTTTTTTTTTTTTTTGAGACAGGGTCTCACTTTGCAGTTTAGACTGGCCCCAAACTCACTATGTAGCCCAAGCTGTCCTTGAATTGGCAGTGATCCTCCTGCCTCAGCCTCCCAAGTGCTGGAATTACAGGTGTGCACCACTACACCCGGCTTGGAAAATTTATCTCTAATGATGTGTGTGAAGATATCGTTTAGTAAATTTGTCAGACTTTAGGGAAATTACATGAGAAAAGTAATCTTGTGTGCATTCAGAAAAAGTTCCAAGTCATATAAAATGGAGAGAAAATCAAATGGGCATCAAGCATTTAAATAGCAACATTTTGTGACTGCAGATAAGAGTAACAGAATTTAAGGTATATGAGAAAATAGAATATGAATCAGATATTGTTTCTAACCAAATCAGCCTTTGAGGGTAAAAGTCACAGACCAGCTGATACAGACATCCAGGAACTGAGTAGGTTACTGAGGATCAAGCTTTCAGGTCACCAAGGTATGATAAGAAGCTATGGCATCCAGACCCAAGTCACCAAATACTAGCTAAAAGGAAAGTCTTCCTTCAAGAATTCTAGGTAGAGGGGCCGGGGATTTAGCTCAGTGGCACTGTTTCTGCCTCACAATCGCAAGGTCCTGAGTTTTAATCCCGGTACTGGAAATAAATAAATAAATAAATAAATAAAATAAAATAAAATAATTCCAGCCAATGGATGCAGAAGGAATGGTCTTCGAAAATCAGCGCCTTACACAGTGAAATGCTTGCCGGGTGATAATTCACAGCCTTTGGGACTAATCATACCCTTGCAGCTAAATACTGGCAAGGGGGAAAACAGGAAATAGAAATCCTAAGGACAGATCCATAATTTTTAAAACCATACAGAATAAATGACTTGGTTTCTTTTTTTTTTTTTGGTACCGGGGATCGAACTTGGGTCCTTCCACTTGCAAGGCAGGCAGTGGAACCACTGAGCTAAATCCCCAGCCCAATGACTTGGTTTCTTTAACAAATAAATTTCAAATTAAAAAAAGAAAGATGCAGGGGACTGTCTTGTTTTTTTGTTTTTGTGGTACCGGGGATCAAACTCAGGACCTTGCACTTTCAAGGCAGATGCGGTGCCACTGAGCTAAATTCCCGGCTAGAGAGGACTGTTTTTAAAAACACCAAACCCTGAAAAAACACACAACAGAAAACAATGCATGGCGGGGATTTAGCTCAGTGGTTTCACTGCCTGCTGCGCAAGTGCAAGGACCCAACTTTAATCCCTGGTACCAAAAAAAAAAAAAAAAGACTACAGAATGCACGGATCTGATTCAAACAAGCCAAAGAGATGAAAACATTTTTGAAACAGGAAAATATTTAACATGAATGATAAGGAATTATTAAGCCATATGTTGTGGTGCACACCTGTAACCCCAGTGACCCGTGAGGCTGAGGCAGGGGAATCACAAGTTCAAGACCAGCCTGGGAAGCTTAGTGAGATCCTGTCTCAAAAAAAATACAAGGAGCTGAGGATGTAGATCAGCGTAAGTTCTTGGGTTCAATCCATAGTACCTCAAAATAAAAAAAACTATTATCATTCATCTGGTTAGGATAATGCCTTGCAATTTTTTTAAAGTATCAGGTAGTGATATAAATTATAGGTGAAAAGATGTCTGGAATTTGTTTTTATATACTCCCACCAAAAAGAAAAAAGGAAATTACCTGAAATAAAATTGGCAACATGTTGGCAGTGATGGCATCTGAGGCTCATTCTGTAATTTCTCTATGTTTGTACAGTTTTATAAAGAAAACCTCTGCCCCAGTCCAGTGTGCAGATGCCAGGAAGGCTCATGTGTCTGTGAACTCTAGGCCTCCTGGGTCTCAGCCTCTCAGACACCTGCTGCCCAGTACAGAGCTGCCCGGTGGGGTCCAGGGCCTCAGTCGGGGATATGGGGAGCTAAAGAGGAAACCAGAGGCAAAAGCACCAAGAAAGGTGGAAAATGCCACAAGTGTTTTTTGTCCAAATCTGGATGATTGGATTGGATTACTTTTTGCCATGATCAGCTTTTTATTTTTTTGAGACAGGGTCTGGCTATGTAGCCCAGGCTGGTCTTGAACTCTTGGTGCTCCTCATGGCTCAGCCTCCTGAGTGCTGGGATTACAGGTGCATGCCACCTCACCCAGCAAGTTGGCCTCTTTTTGATTCACAGTCACTTACTGATTACGCATTTTATGAATTATCTATAGCTAATTGTTAGTCCCACACTGACTTCCTCCTTCTGTTCAGCATATTTCAGAGCTTCCTGTAGTCTGGGAAAAGAAAACTGTGACAGTAAGACCCACACACAGTGTCAGGGGTCAAACGTGCCACACCCTTATTTGGAGATTGCTGGCTGTTTTAAGTACCTGTATGGTGCCCTTGAGTAGTGCCAACCTTAGGCTGTTTTCTATCCCTGGCCTTAGAGCCAGACTAGAAAAAATTTGAGTCATTCTGAATAGTGGATATGGACAGGTCCCAAAACCCTGGAAGATGGGAATTTCTTACCCCTTGACATCGAGACAGAGAAGTGGTAGCAGAAGCAAGGAGGGGCCTGATTACTGAGGCTGCTTCCCGCTCTTCCATCCCGGTGCTGACCCTAGGCCTGCAGTGCCCGGTGGTGCCACCTGCCCTCCTTCCCAGGTCCTGGGTCCTGTGCATCACACGCTAGAGCTCCTGGTTCTATGGGCAGCTCCTCTGGGCAGTGTTTCCCCTTCTGTCACTGGCCACAGCTCCTCTCCTGGCAGAGTGTAGGGTACACATTCGAGATTCAGCGTTTCCAGGAGGAGCAGGAATACCAGCTGCCATCCAGCTCAGAGGCTGGAGAGGAAAAGTCCCCATGTGGCACACATGCTGCTTTGTGTTCAAATGGTGACACCTTCCTAACACCCTCCCTGTCTCCCCCCAGATCTTTCCTCTGTTCCGCGCTCTGGGTGCGAATGGCCTCCTCATTGAATATGAAGACATGTTTCCCTACGAGGGCCACCTGAGCCTGCTGAGGGCCTCGAACGCATACAGGTACCACCACACGTGGTGCGGGTGTCACCCAGAAGTGGGCAGAGCAAGCTGAGAGGAGCCCAGGGCTCCAGGTGGGAAGGTGCAGTTAAGAGATGTAGTGGGAGGGTGAGCAGTCTGACTGTGGTGAGTGTGTTCCTTTACTGTCTTCCAAAATGCATAGCTTCAATTATAAAAATTGACTGTGAGGGCCTGAGGATTTAGCTCAGTGGTTTTGCTGCCTGCTGCACAAGGACCCTAGTTCAATCCCTGGTACAAAAAAAAATTGACTGTAAGCCAGGCGTGGTGGCACACACCTATAGTCCCAGTATTCCAGGAGACTAAGGCAGGAGGATCACAAGTTCCAGCCCAACCTGGGCAATTTAGTGAGATCTTATCTCAGAAAATAAAAGTTCTAAGGATGTAGCTCAGTGCAAAAGCCCAGTACCACGTAAATAATAAATAAGTAAATAGATCATAATAGTAGAACAGATTCCCTGGAGAGAATTTGGAAACATTTAGAAAAGGAAAGAAGCATCCACCGACCCCACCTGGAAGGGTGCAGTTTGCAGTTCAGCCTCCCCATCTTGCTCGCAGTAGGAGTCTGCAGCGAGCTCACCCAGATGGTGCTAAGCCCCTGGAAGTGCAGACTGGGGGAGGGGATCCATAGGGGCCAGAGAAGGCAGCTGCGGCTTCGCGGACAGGACAGCTCCCGCATGCCACCCGCAGATGCCCAAAGGAAAAATCCCAAGGCCAGGAGCCAGCAGATCCCCAGAGGAGAAACCCAGGTGGCCAGTAGGCACATGAGAGAACAGCGGAGCCCTCACTGAAACAGCTGTGCAGTGCTGTTCGGCCCCTGGGCAGTGAAGCTTCTGCCAAAATTCAGCTGCTCTGACTGAGGGTGGTGGAGTGTGGGTCAGCCTGGCCCTGGGCTCCGAGTTTTCCAGCCTGCCCGGCCCCTCAGCACGGTGGGCAGGCCGAGCAGCAGGTCCAGCAGAGTGAGCCCTATAAGCGGGGAGCTTACAGTGCTGCCTCCACTGTGTGCTCTCCTGTAATTTTTCTAACAGTGAACATACTGTGTCTTTCAAAGTGAAAAGAGTTCATTTGAAGCTTGAAATGGGAATAGAGTGAAAACAACTTTCTATGAATAGTAAATTTATAAAGCTGAAAGATGGTTCACACACACAGCTCTTACCTAGAAATAGTTTTGCTCCTTAGATAAGTTCATAAATGGTGACACATGTGGGGCCCTCCCAGGACTGAGCAGCGTGGCACCGCTGTGCATCGGTGCTGAGGGCCATGCTCAGGGCAAGGGCTGTGAGAAAGCAGCTGAGAGGGGACCTTGCCCCCACCCGCCCACCAGCCCCTGCTCTGCAGCTTGCACCCTGTGTAAGCCAGGTCTGTGTAAAGCGCACATCCGAGAGCTGCCTTCCCTGCAGCGTGGAGTCTTCAGAGCTCTGCAGAGCAGTGGCTTGTCCTTGTCCAGGAGGCCTCAGGCCTGGCGAGCAAGCAGCACACTGAGCACCGGCACACACCTCTGTGTGGTCTTTGTCTCTCCAGCCCCTCCGAAGTCACAGAAATCCTGCGTCTGGCCAAGCTCAGTGAGCTGGAGGTCGTTCCCTTGGTGCAGACGTTTGGACACATGGAGGTGAGGGGCATGGGCATGGGGCCAGGGCCAGGCTTGTTCCCAGGCATCCAGCTGGGCACTGCACCAAGAGGCTGCTGCTCTTGGAAGTGCTGCTCCCACTCCCCCCGAGCAGCCAAAGAGCACACACTCCAGGTCCAGCAGCCTCTTCAGGGAAGGAAGAGAAGTCTTCCGTTTGCTTTCTTTTTTTTTCCCCAGTACTGGTGATTGAACTCTGGACCTTGCGCCTGTGAGGCAGGTGCGGTGCCACAGCCAAATCCCCGGCCCTTCCATTTTCTGTTTGAAAGCAATTCAAGAGTATTTTTCATGACTGGGGAGGCTGAGGCAGGGAGGTCCTGTCTTAGTCACTCTCTCATTGCCCGCAACCCCCAGCAATACACAATATAATAATACACAATACCCAACGCCCACGATTTAAAGGAGGAGAGGTTTGTTTTGGGCCACATTTGCAGTCCATGGTCAGTTGGTTCAGGGCAGGAATGGCCTGGGAGAGAGCCATAGCAAAGGAAAGCTGTTCAAGTCACAGCAGCCAGGAAGCAGGGATAGGGAAGGGAGGATCTGGGAAGGGAGCTTGACCCTTCCAGGCTGCACCCCCAGTGACTCCCCTCTTCTAGGCAGGACGGGCTCCTAACAGCAGGTCAGCTGTGTCTCCATAATCCAGGCATCTTCCAAACCCCCACCTGTGAGTGCATGCCTCTCTTGGGGGACATCTAGATATAAACCATAACGTTGCATGTTCAGGCCCAGCTCAAGGTCAGCCTGGACTACATAGCATGTCCCTCCCTGTCTCAAGAAAAAAATATTGTTCATATCTGCACCAAAGAATTGGGAAACAAACCCAGTGTTGTTTGATGGCTCTTAGGTTACACATATTCCCCTGCCAAATACTGTACTCCCTCAGGTTTACCAGCAGTCCTTCCACTTCTGATTTGGTTTACACACCCAGGAGAAGGATGCTTTTACTTAGAGCCTCAGAGTCTACCGTGTCTGCCCTCGAGTTCTTAACGTGCCTTTGGAAACCCTCCCAAAATTCAGTCAACCCAGATTTTCTAGTGGGTTCGCCCTGCTACGCCATCCTGCGTTCTGATCCTGACGCGCTCTCTCTGGCTTCCAGCACCAGCATCCTTCGTGTCACCAAATCAGTGACAGGTCTAGGTCCCCTAACCCGACTCCACACCCTGTGTCGTCACTGAACCCTTTCCCAGGCTCACAGCCCCCTGGTTTCAGGCTTCTAGCTGCACTCGTCAGTGCCCATCAAAGCCTCCTCTAGATGGCATTAGGGGACTGGGAAGAGTGTCCCCCATCAAGTCCATCCCCTCTGGCAGTGAAGCTGCTGGTTTTCGCAGCTGGGGGACCCTGAGCAGGAGAGCAGGGAGCAGCCCTTGCCAAGAATGTTCCTGAGGCTGCTCACAGGTAACCATTTTTCAACTGATGTCCACCTGTGCTGACTTCCAGATCCCTGAAGTGGCTGTTTGTTTTCATTTTCGTTTTTTTGGTATCTGTTTTGGGAAGGAGTTGCCATCCTCTTCATGCTGAGGTGGCCAGAAGAGTGCTCACCCCAAATCCTGAAAGTGAATCAAACCTCCTGTCTTTTCAATTTGTCACTCAGTTAGAATGGGTGGGTGGGCTGGAGAGATTGGCAGGAAGCAGGTGTGGATGTCGCTGCCTGCTGCACTGTAGACTTCCTGGGCGTCGGGAACTGGACCATCCCATGGCCTTGCAGACAACAAACTCACATAGGTGGCAGGAGCCAGGAGCCCTTACTAAGCCTCCCGGGGCAGTGGGGCTCTGGCACCAGTTGCCTCCCTTTGGAGCTCCCCAACCCCACCTGTCTCCCTGCAGTTCGTGCTGAAGCACTCGGTGTTCTCACATCTCCGGGAAGTGGCTCTCTTTCCCAACACCCTGAACCCTCACGAGGCAGAGTCCCTGGCACTGGTGAGCGCCATGATCGACCAGGTCCTAGGGCTGCATGAAGGCGCCCGCTGGCTCCACATCGGGTGTGATGAGGTAGGTGCCTTCGTCCCAAAGTCCACACCAGCCCCTCTTCCTCAAGGTCACCTTCTCCCATGGTGAAGTCCAAGTGCCAGAGAATAAAGAGCCTGGCCAAGGAGACGGCCCCCATCCCATCCAGCTCCTGGGGAGAACCATGGCCTGGTGTGGGGAAGGGCCGCAGAGCCTGAGCAGGGGACCTGTGTCAGACAAGGCCAACACCTGCCAGGGCTTCCCGCACAGGGTCAGCCAGCGTATCATGCACACACCAAGCCCTCAGGATTTTGTTCCAGAGAAATGCAGATTGGGTGGTGCTGGGGTTGATGAGGGGGTGCATTACTTTTAGACCCTAAAGTGCTCCCTTGGAAAGGTGGTCCCTGGGGTGCCAAGCAGTGTCCCCAGCGCACCCACCAACCTCCCTGCCTCTGCCTCACTGCTTGGCTCCAGGTGTGTGGGCAGGACCGAGGGATGTGGAGCCTGGCCTCTCAGGGCTGTGGCCCACTAGAGCCTGAGCTAGGCCTGTGTCTGCCACAGTCAGCCCAGCCCAAGGTTTTCTTTTTGAAAAGAAATTCTGTGTGTGTGCTTGAGATGTACACTTTGGCAGCTCTTCACACATTTGGGGTGCTGCCTGACCCTCATCACTGCCCCCTGCAGGCCCTCCTCTACCTGCGGAAGACCCTGCCCCCGCGCCTCCCCAGCCCCTTCTCTCTCTGTCTGCACTTGCCTGGTCTGGACATTTCACTCCAATGGAATCACAATACGTGGCCTTCTGTTTCCGACTTCTTCACTCAGTGAATGTTTGTGGGGCAAGGTTCATCCGTGTCGTAGCGTGTGTTAGGGTGTCCCCTGGTTGGGGGGTGCAAGTCGGGTCATGAGCCCCTGCTTGGCCTCCTCTCCGCACTCAGCCACCCCGAAACTCAGGACGCAGTGTAGGGGCTGACACCAGGCAAGCTGTCCGCCTCTTCCTGCAGGTCTACTACCTGGGTGAAGGGGAGGCCTCTAAACGATGGCTGCGGCAGGAGCAAAACAGCCAGGCCAAGCTGTGTCTGTCCCACATCTGGGCGGTGGCCAGCCACGTGCTGAGCCTGCACCCCAGCACAACGCCCCTGGTGTGGGATGACATGCTGCGGGACATTCCCCAGGACCAGCTCGCAGGTGGGCCTCACAGGCCAGCGGTGGTGTGCCTGAGACCTCCACCCTCGGGGTTCTGGCACGGGGCTTTCCACTGGACCAGTTCTCCCTGTGTGCGTGGGAAACCCAGGTTTCTGTCACTTCCTTAGGGGGCCCTGGGTCTTGTAGGCACGGCGGGAGTGTCTGTGCTCAGCAGCCTCTCCCCTGTGTTCTTTGTGGCTGCCCTGACTGATTAGGGGAGTGTCCGGGGCCCTGGGGAGCACAGGCAGATGTGCTGGCTCCGGGAGCCCAGTCACTTCCAAAGTGGGCAGCTTTGAACAGCATCCTCTGTGGCTGCGCCGTGTAGTGCAGTACCCAGCCTGTGTCTGAAACTCACGTGGCCTGACAAGATGGTCCGAGTTCCACTGTCATGCCGAAAGTGTGTCGGAGGGGCTGGGGGTGTGGCCTGGATGCTGGGTTTGCATTCACGTTCTTGCCCTGTCCCCAGCATCCGGGGTGCCGCAGCTGGTGGAGCCCGTGCTCTGGGACTACAGTGCCGACCTGGATGTCCACGGCAAGGGTCAGTGCCAGGCTGCCCAGGATGCGCCGCTCAAGGCCCCCTTGCCTGGCTGGGCTGTTCCCCACCCCTGGGCCCTGTGACCTAGGCACCCAGCCTGGGGGTGCGGGTACCTTGTCAGCTCAGCCGAGCAGCATGTGGTAAGGGCAGGCACAGCTGCTGCCCCACTCTGCCCTGCTCCACCACAGACCCCACTCGGGATGGGTACAGGACACTCCGGCAGGATGCTTTTGCTCTTCCCGGTTCTCCAGGACATTTTCCTAATAAGCCAGTGAATTGGGGGCCGCTCGTGAGAAGCTGAACTCTCCTCCAGTAGATGTCAGCCAGGCCCAAGACGAGCATGAGCTGGGCACGTGTGTCCCAGGCCCTCACGCAAGCTGTCTCCACAGAGCCACTCACCTGCCTGCTTTCCACCCAGTCCTCCTGATGGAAAAGTACCGGGAGAGCGGCTTTCCGCGGCTGTGGGCAGCCAGCGCCTTCAAGGGGGCCACGGGGGCCAGCCAGGCCCTGCCTCCTGTCCAGCACCACCTCAGGAACCATGCACAGTGGCTACAGGTGGTGGGCAGTGGGCCGGCGGACACACTGCAGGGCATCATCCTGACCGGCTGGCAGAGGTGAGTGTGCAGGAGGCCGGTCCTGGGGCCGGGAAGCAGCTCCTCAGCCTGCCCACAACCTGTCCAGTGTGGGCCTCAGGGTGTCCCGAGTAGGGCCCAAGTTCTGTGGAGGAGCACTGCCTGAGTGCTCCACACCAAGACTGGCTATGTCTCACATGGGGCACAGCAGGACACAAAGGCGGACGTGTGTCTTCCACAGTCTGCCTCCCTGGGAAAGTAGGACATGGCGATGTCCTGGATCCCAGGACAGGACAGTCTGGATTACGGCGCCTCAGTTGGGCTGGGTTGGCTGAGGGTAGCAGAGTTGAGCCACCCCTCTCTGGGCACAGGTATGACCACTTCTCCGTGCTCTGTGAGCTGCTGCCTGTGGGCATCCCGTCCCTGGCTGCCTGTCTGCAGTTGCTGCTCTGTGGTACGTCAGTCCCCCGACCATGGCCCGCCTTGGGGTTGGACCTTGGTCCTTGTCACAGCGAGGTCAGCTGCATTGAGGAGAACACTGACACAGCCTGGCCTGGCCCAGCCACTCACCCACCATTGGCCCAGGCCTGGCCACACCCAACGTCTCCAAGCTTAGGCCCAAGGCCAGCTGAGAGTTAGAAGTCAGACTCATTGAACCTGCATTGAAATTCGTGCTTCATGGGGTATGGAAGAAAAGTCTACCTTTGCTGTATAAATGTCCTGAGAGCCTGGAGGCAGCTCGTGCAGAACCAGGGACCGGTCCCTGGAGGGGCCCCTTAGCCCCCCACTTCTAAATTGGGTCCCCTAAGGGAGCAGGTGGACCAGCGAGGCAGAGCAGATGGGCGGGGGATGCTCAGAGTGGGGCGGTCGCTGGGCCTTGGTGAAGTACACTTCGTACTGTAGGAATCTGCAGATGTGAGTCTGGGCAGGCAGAGGGGTTCGGGTCAGAGCATGGCAGCGCCTGCAGACGAGGTTTAGCAAGGGCGGCACCGTGCACAGGGAGCCAGGGAAGACGATGCAGAGGAGGAGTCTTAGCTTTTCTCAGCTGTTCACTCCTAACTGTTAAGAATATACAGAAAGGTGAGGAGGCAACAGCACATACACCCCTCACGCTGAGCAGGGAGCTGCAGCTGGCCTGTACTGGCTTCCTTGTGTCCAGCTTTGAAGGGAGCTAGTGGTTGCAGCTGCCCACCACGGGACACCCTGCCCTCCTGTCACAGCCTCGGTGCTGACGTGGAGGAATCCACGCCAGCCCCTGCAGCTCCGGCCTGTTCTAGGAGCCCTGGAACATCCCACTGTTGAGTGAGCTGCAGGTACAGATGCCACGTGAGACCGGCTGTCTGCACAGGGGCCCAGGACTCGTCCAGGTGCTGGCCCTGGCAGCAACACCATTTGTATTTCTGTTTTCTGATCTTTGCAGCTGTGAGTAGCGGCAGGGCTTACCCTGAGGTCATCCGGGGATCACATGTACAGGGCTGGGCCTGGCTGAGGTGCCCGTGCCACTCTGCCAAGGTCCTGGAGGCCTGACAGCGTGGCCTGCAGGAGCAAGGCCTTCTCTCCCTGCCCTCCGTCAGCTTCTGTCTGCGGTTGGTTTCAGGAGGATTTGCTGAGGACGCGAAAGGGAGAGTAGAGAACCTCCTCGGAGTTTCAAGCCCAGAAGCAGGGGACACTGTGAGGTAACCACACCCCGCCCCTCCAGCCCCTCCCCTCCTCTGGGGATCCCATTCTGAGCCCGGCTCTCTGGCAGTGAGGGAGTCGGCTCTTTCCCTGGCAGCGACATTCATGCTCTCGTCACCCAAGTCAGCCTCCACCTGTGCAGCTCCGTGGATGCACTGCTGGAGAGGAACAGGTGAGCGGCCCCCACACCCGGCTGGTCTCCTTCCTCACAGAGGCTTTCTAGGGAGAAGCAGTTCTTTGTCTTTTGGATTTTGTTTAACAGTGTCTTGCTGTAAAGCCCAGGCTGGCCTCCAACTTGCAATCCTCCTGCCTCAGTTTCCTGAGTGAGAAGCACAGCTTCTTAAAATTTCTACTAAGCCAAGCATGGTGGTGCCACACACGTAATCCCAGCAGTCAGAAACCTAAAGCAGGAGAATCATGAGTTTGAGGCCATTCTGGTGACACAGTGAGTTCAAGGACAGCCAGGACTACATAGCCAGGACTACATATCTCAAAAAAAAAAAAGGCTGGGCGCTGTGGCACACACCTGGTAATCCCAGCACTCCAGCCTCCAGCAAGGGAGGCTAAAGCAGGAGATTACGAGTTTGAGCCCCTTCTGGGCAACTTAGCAAGGTCCTGTTTCACAATAAAAATAGAGCCAGGGATTTAGCTCAGTGGTTTCGCTGCCTGCTGCGCAAGCGCAAGGACCCAAGTTCGATCCCCATATCAAAAATATATAAATAAATAAAATAAAAATAGGGCTGGGGATGTAGTTTATTGCAAAGGCCCTATGTTCAATCTCTAGTACCAAAAAAAACTTAACTAGATTTAAGTTTTCCCAGGCTGTCACCACAAAGCACCCATGCTGTTAGCTGCTGTTAGCCTGTGTGCTCACCTGTCTGCTCTGCCTCAGGTATGTGACTGGCTGGTTCAGCCCCTACCACCGCAGGCGGAAGCTCATCCACCCGGTCATGCTGCAGCACATCCAGCCCGAGGCACTCAGGTGAGCATCACCCCACCCGGCCACAGGCCTGCCCGGCAGCTGTCACCTCTCGCAGTCACTGCCTGCTGGGATCAGGGTTCAGCCAAGACACTTTCTGGGTTTGCATCCTGAGGCCTTTGATGGATCTGATGTGTTCCGATACTACCCTTAACATTACTGAGCAGCTTGGTGGTTCCTAGCCTAAAAGAACATCACCCACATGCTTGGCAGGCCTAGGGTCCACCCTGGCCCTGCTGCACCCAAGGGCCCCCGGCCAAGAGCCCTTGTGTCCTTCAGGCTGGAGTCCAGGGCTGCCTTCCCCTCCTCTCCTGGTTCAAGGCTGCGAGCTGAGCCTAACAGTGCCCCCCATGCCAGCAAGATGCTGCCCATGGCATACAGTTCACATGCTGCCAAGAAAGCTGCCAGCCAAATGTAAAATGCATCCTGGTCAGATGCTGCAGCCTGCCAGTTCACCCACCTTCTTGTCCCAGTGGGTAAACTGAAGCATTGATCAGTGCTGGCCTGTGGGGCTGAGGACAGCAGTGTCACAGGTTCCTCTGCAGCACAGCAGTTCACAGCCCTATTGCCCTCAGCCTCCTGGGCAGGTGGGGCATGCTGGTCCAGCAGCTGGAGGCGGCTCTGCAGCGCATCTTCTTCCCCGACGCTGTGGAGGAATGGCTGGAGGAGAACGTGCACCCCAGCATGCAGCGGCTACAGGGCCTGCTGCAGGACCTCGGGGAGGCCGCACCCCTGCCCCTGCCCCTGCCCTCAAGCCCTGGCAAGGACACAGGTCAGGACCCCTGAGGGGCTCCTTCCACAGCTGGGGGGCACAGGCTGAAGCGAGCTGCACACAGGCTGCATCCGACATGCTCGTCCTGCTCCACTGGGACAGTGTGGTGCAGGCAAATCTGAGCACAGCAGGCAACACTAAAGGAAAAGGCACGTGGGACTGTTTACCATGTGCATGTGGAACTTTATTAATTCATCTGAAATAAAAACAGCACAGGCTTCAAGTCCCACTAATGAAACCTTGAGTTAGGTTCTTTGCTGGCTCTGTGGTTTGCAGTTGGCCTCTCTCCCCCACCCAGAACGAGCCCAGCCTGATGGCGGCTCTGCAGGGAGAGCCAAGATTCCACCCTGTAACCAGGGGCTGGGCTTTCGGGCACCTGCTCCTCCCTCCTCTGAAGCATCCTTAGTGTGCAGTGTGCACAGAGGCTGGATGTGGTGGCACACACCTGTAATCCTAGTTACCCAGGAGGCTGAAGCAGGAAGGTCACAAGTTCAAGGCCAGGCTGGGGAACTTAGCAAGACCTTGTCTCAAAATAAAACTGAAAAAATGCTTGGGGACATGACTCACTGGTAAAACATGCTTGCCTAGCATTTATAAGACGCTTGGTGTAATCCCCAATATCAAGAAAGTGAGCCCACAGGTTGACGAGCCAAACACCAATTGCTGTATTTCACACTTTTTTTAGGAAAGAAAAACATCCCAGATACAGCCATTGAAGCCAACGTTGGCTGTGCATTTAAAGTACCATGTTTCCCAACTCAGGGCTGAGCGTTCTGTCTAGCCCAGGGTGCAGTGGCTTCAGAGCAGCCTCAGACCTGCGTCCAGGTGACGCTGTGGCTTCCCAGTTCTACCTGGCTGCCTACGAGCACAGCTTAGTGGGTGCTGACCAGGGGCCAGGAGTCCACAGCTCTCGGGCCCAGGGCCAGGCAGGGCACTCAGTGCGGCTGGCTCCCAGCTCCGTGACCAATAGCTGCAGCCAGGAGCTGAGTCTACTGCACTTTCCAGGCCTCACAGCTGGAGCAGGGTCTCTGCAGAAGAGCTCCTGGTCTTCAGATGCCACAAGATGCTAGAAGAGGTGACCTCTCTTCTGCCCCGGCTGGGGTGGGAGGTGGCCTTTCTGTGGCCAGCAGGCATGCTGCAGTGTGCTGGGCTAAGACAAGTGTCTGGGAAGGCGGTTGGTATGTTCATTTCCCTGGTGTCAGCAAGGGAGCAAGGTCCTTTGCGTGGGCAGCCTAGGTGGCACAGCCCACAGTGCCCAGGCATCTTGCCCAGGGTCAGGTCTACCCTCAGGGAAACCCCTGCCCACTGAGGACATCCAACCAGCAAGGGCAGCACAGGCCGACGAGTCTTCTAAGCACGACATCCTGACTCGGTATCCAGAGGAGCCTGGCCCTCCCCGTGGGAACACAAGCATCATATTAAGAATAGAACTCAGTGCCAGGAGCACAGGCTGGCAAAGCCTCTGGCTGTGGGAAGGCCAGGCCCTGGCTGCATGCTGAACAAAGCCTGGGCATCCTTTTGTCTCAGAGCCCATGGGACGAGGCAGGCCATGCTATCCATCACCCCCTCATCCCACTGCCCCGGCCAGGGCCACTGTCCGAGTCTGGGGGAGGCGATGTTTTCTGCGCCCAATGGATGAAGTATGTGCCCCCTGGGCCACAAAGCACAGCTCTGGGCAGAATGGAGGCAGGAGTGTGAATGGGCAGAGGCAGGAGTTCACCCTCGCTGCCCAGGAGATACAGGTACCCAAGACCTGCCCAGAGCCTCTCGACTGGCTGCTCAGCTGGGGCGCTGTTGGAAGCCAGGGCCGGGAGGCCGTGTGGATGGCGTCTGCCCACAGCTACTTGGGGCTGTCAGCTCTGGCTGCCAGGAACGTCAGCCTCGCTGTCGCTGCTCTGAGACCGCTCTGAGGGGCTCTCCAGGCAGTGCAGCTCCAGGAAGCTGGTGATGAGCTTCGCGATGGCCTCCACGTCACTGGGCCAAGAGGAAGGGCGGGTCACCTGGCACAGCCCAGGCCCCCCAGCAGCCAGCTGACCCCTCCCTCATCCCTGACCCCCCAGCTGCAGCCTCAGGGCTTCCAGACTGGGGCCAGCATCTCCTGTCCTGGTGTCCTTCCCCCAGCCCCAGTGTCTGGCACTGCCTCTGTGGGCAGCACGGCAGAGCTGCCTCCATGCACATCCTTCCCACAGGTCCATTTCCCCAGTGCCCCAGATGAGGGGCAGTCAGTAGTGCGAGTCAGCCCTCCCTGCCCAGTAGGGCCCCCTTACCTGCGGTGCCCCATGACTGCGCTCTGGGTGAGGGGATGGGAGAAGCCTGTTGCGAACCGCAGCACCACCATATAGCCCTTGCCGAAGTACCGGACCTTCTCCTCCTCCACATTCACATCCCGGATGTCATTCAGCAGGACCACCACTGCGGGGGCGTGCAGGTCGGGCCTCAACCCCCTGCCACCCATCTCTCCTGCCCACTCGGGGGCCTGCCTGCCTGGGCCCATGACCCTACCCCCACTCACCTCCCCAACAGGCTGAGCCTCTGAAGAAACCTGCCTGCACCCCACACTGCAGGCCAGGGCGAATCTGGGGGACCCCACCACTAAGGGTGGGGCCTGGGACCGAAGCCGTGTCCCGCTTCCCCCTGCTGCAGGGCGTTCCTACTTCACGTCTCACCTTCGTCATGGCCTGCTTTAAGAAGGGTCAGCAGCTTCCTGTAGAGGCTGAATGTTTTCAAAATGACCTTCCCAGTGCTCTTGTTGAAGACGGCTTCCTGGAAACCAACATGCACTGACCACACACAGACTCATACCAGAGTGGATGCCCAAGGGGTCCTCCCAGTCAGAACACAACCCACCAAACCCAGGGTCTGCCATCTGAACCCAGGACTCCTGCCAGGCTTCAGGGCAAGACAGAGTGGTGGGCAGAGCAAGTGGCTTCTCTGCATCAGGACGGGATGGCAGTAGGCCCACAAGAAAGCAGTGGTTGGAAGTCAGGAGCACAGGCCAGGGAGCTTCAAGGACTCCCAAGGGCGATGCAGGCAGGGAGAAGGGGCTGGTGGCAGGAGGATGCAGACCCACACCCTCTATGCCTCAGCAACCCCTGGAGTAGAAAACTTTGGTGAGAACAGTCATCAGGAACTTCTGGGAGATTCCTGGGCCCAGGGATGGCCACAGGCAATGCCCTGGAGCCAACTAAGTGGACACCGCTAAGCTAAGACAAACACTCCAGAACAGGGACAGGGCTCAGGCTGCACTGCCTTACCTCCCAGTCCTCCAGATTCTGCACAGCCACGAACAGGCAGCCTGTGACATAGAAGAGCTTCCAGCCCAGACTATCTGCAGGAGACAGGATGCTGGCCCATGAGTGAGGAGGCAAAGGCAACAGGCCAGAGGAGCCTGCACGGCCTCTCCCCAGACACTAGGCACAGGGGCCAGGAGCAGCAGGCAGGGGCCAGACTGACTCTGCCCCCGGTAATCCCACTGGGAGGCAGTGGTTGAGGTGCCTGCTGATATCAGCAAGCTTGCAACAGTGGAAACCTGTGAGCCTGGCTCCTCCCTGCAGCAGGATCCTAGGCAACCACTAGAGCCACTTTCAGAGAATATTTTATGACATAGAAAACTGCTTGAGATCTAGTAGTGCAGGCTGGTGGGCAGCACATCACAAGGTGGGCACTGGCCACCCCAGACGCCATGCCACAAGCACTCAGAAATGAGCTCTTCCAAACAGGTGAGGAAATTGAGGAGAGACAGTGTCCTTTACCTCCGCTGTAGTAGGCAGCAGCCAGCCCAGTCGACAGGATTCCTGTGGGGAGACAGGAAGCGCCTTGTTACCGAGCCCCCAGGAGTCCCACCTGCCCACTGCAGGAAAGCTGTGTTCTGGGGCACATTGGGCAGAGACCCTACGTGCAGTCCAGGGAAAACAGCCAGGGCATTTGTACACACTGCAGTATACACAACTGGAGCTTCCCAGAAACCCACCAAGCCAGAGGCAGGTATCACCCCCATAGCACACAGTGAGGAATGAAGACTGTACACCGGGATTCCACACAACACACAGCAGTCTTCGGGAGGCCACGTGTGTCACAGGAGAGTGCCTCAAGCGGCCGCTGCAGGCAGAGCCAGCACCTCCCGAGGCACCCAGGCCAATCAAGGCACCTGCAGCTGTCCCCAAGGCCACAAGACCCTCCCAGGACACAGAGAGGCCAGGAGGTGACAGACTCAAGAAGGGTTAGCTAACCCTGACCCAGAGAAGAGGAAAGTGGGAACCAACCATCACTCACCACACAGACCAGAGTGTCAAAGCAAGTTTTACACCCTATAGTGACCTCAGGGGGAAGAGGAGGAACAAAAATCACACAGCACAAAGTGTTAAGGAAACAGCCATTATCTGTAAGCCCTCATAGGTAGGAGAAAATCTAACAATACAAAAAGGGGGGCGGGTATTTTAGGGTAGAACAAAAGAAAAAAGGGTTCATTTTGTTTTCATCATTTTAAGACTTTCCTTTTTGGAGAACATTCGGAAAGTCTTACCAACCAGCAGGGACCACGACCGGATGCCTGGAGCCCTCTTCAGATGGAGGTAGGAGCTGGTTCGGGTCTCCACCTGCATGTACATCCTGGAAGAGTCTGGACTGGCTGCGGACAGGGGTGGGGGATCAGCCACAAAGCTGGAGCCCTGGGGCCTCATCTGGCCCAGGCCCCGGGGAGGAGTGACTCCTCTCTGGTGGGGCAAGTCATGCTTCCTTCCTGAGGAGCTCCCCCTGCTCAGTTATTCGGGCCGCCCTGGGGCCACATCGCCCGCCCAGACTCTGGTTGGCCTCATCCTCCCTCCCCTGCCTGCGCGTCCTACCTGGAAACCTTAGTCTTGCCAAAGCCATCGGCCCCCAGCAACCCTCAAGCTCCTGGCACGGGGACCCACCGGAACCCTTTTCCCCTGTGGTGGCCTCCGTAAAAAAGGGAACTGAGAGAGCCATGATGGCTGAGCCCGCTGTAGGGTCAGAGATCAGCTCTCTCTCTGCTCTCCCAGCCACAGACGCTGTAGACGACCCCGAGCCCAAACCGGTGACTGGGCGGCCAAAGGGCGGGGAGCTGCCATGCCGCCGGCTGACTCCCGGAGACCGCCCACAAAGGGCGCCAAGGACGCCTAACACTAAGTGGCGATTCAAAACCTCAGGAATGAGCCCTAGAGCCACGACTGTGTTCCTCCGCCCGTCGCTGACAGCTCCACGAACGCCCCGGCCCCGCACACAGCACTACACACACGCACCCGTGCACACACACTCGCTGGCCGGGTGTGCTCAGCCCTCTGCGGCCCAGCGTCCCGGGACGACAAGCCCGGAGACCGCCACCTGCGCGGACGGGCGGGAGCGGGCGCGGGCGCGGGGCTGGACGTTTCCCCGGATGTCCGCACCTGCGCCGCCGCCAAGGGAGCGGGTCTGCGAGGGGGCGGGGCGGGGCGCCGCCGGGCGGGCTTCCGGGTTTGGCGATGAGCCGCACTGACTTCTGGGGTAGGGGGCGTGGCGGCGCGTACACCCGGAAGTGGGCGGGGCCACACCGATTTAGGGTTAGAAGCGGGCACTGTGGACTCCGGCCTGGCGGCTCGTAGCGCCGGTCTACCCGGAGGCGTTGCGCGAGGAGTCCTCCCGCGTGGTGCAGCGGAAGCAGCGCGCCGGGCTGCAGGGCGGTGCCTCTGTGAGCCGGAAAAGTTAGGGTAGACCCGGAAAAGTTAGGGTAGACCCGGAAGAGCTGCCGCGAAGAGCATGGTCAGTGCTCCGGTTGTTGCTCCAGCAGCGCCCGCCGCAGAGGCCTTGGAGCCCTAAGAAAGAGTCTGTGCAATGCTGGTTGCTGGAGCTGTCATTTCTGGGGTTTTTTCGATCTCTTAGTGTGTATTTCATAATTTAACTGGATATTAGCAAGACAGTGCATAATGTTACCCTTTTTAAAATATACGTATGCGGGGCCGGGGATTTAGCTCAGTGGTTTCGCCGCCTGCTGCGCAAGCGCAAGGACCCGAGTTCAATCCCCGGTACCAAAAAAAAAATATATATATATATATATATGTATGTATGCGTATGCTGGGCGTGCTTGTGCATGCTTGTAATCCTAGCTACTCAGGAGGCCGAGGCCTGGGAAATCCCAGGCAGGCTAGGCAATTTAGCAAGACACTGTCTTAAAATTTAAAAAGAAACAAGTGTAAAGGGCTGGCGATATGTAGCTCTGTAATAGAGTGCTTGCCTCGCACCGGTTCCATCAGTACCATAAAAATATGTACAATCACACACGTTTGTGTGTATACACATATATATACCAGCACGCATAGCTACAAGTTTTACCTGTATAAGCGCATTATGAGGAAATTCAGAGGGCTGGAGGTGCACCTGCCTGGCAGGCACAAGGCTGTGTTCCATCTCAGACACTAAAGGACAACTTGGATGTGACCTTACTACTTTGTCAGCCTCTTTGAGATCTCCGTACCTGTAGCTCTCAAACCTGAGCATGGGTCAGGTCACCCCGAGGGTGTGTTAATACAGACTGGGGCCCTGCTCCCGGTCTTTCTCAAGCAGTGGGTCTGGGTGGGGCTTGAGAATCCAGGTGGTAGTTGTTGGTCCTCCTGGTCTGGGAGTCACACCTATTTTTTTGAGACCGAGTCTCATTGTGTGGCCCAGGCTACCCTCAAACTCTCAGCAGTCCTCCTGCCTCTGCCTCCCCAGTGCTGGGATTATGGCCTGCACCACCACACCCAGCTTTGGGAGTCACCTTTAGAACCAGGGTTCTGAAACTGTAACTAAGGGATCCACTAAATAAATTCTCTAGCTTCATTTGCTTTTAGTAGATTTTAGAAATCAACCAACAGGGCTTGAAGGGGGAATGGGATAAAATAAAATGTATTTTAAAAAGAAATCAACTAACAGGCTCCATAGCTGAGCAATGTATTAGTCTCCAGCTAGCCTTGCTGTAGATGATACCTCGGACTGAAGCCACATAAGGGGTTAGAGCTCTTCTGGGAAAGAAATTCACCTTCTATCCCTTCGGAAAACATCCTTTTGTTCTCCCTCCTTCTGGGTCTTAATGATTAGTTCCTGAGAAAGAAATTAGTGACAAGAGTCAAGACTTTCTAATCAGCAAATTTCCTTTTTTGTAGAGGATACACTACTCCTTTCTTTCCTAGTTAATAGTACAAGGAGCTGGTTATGGTGGTGCACACCTGTAATCCCAGCACTCAGGAGGCTGGGACAGGAGGATCACTGCAAGTTTGAGGCCAGCCTGAACTACATAGCAAGGCTCTCTCAAAACAAACAAAAAAAGATGTGACTTAGCATTTTCTAGCATATAGGAGGTGCCCAACAAGCAATTTAACAACCATGACCACAGATGTAGACCTTCTTATATGTAAAATACATGGAGAGTTGGAGGTTTTATCCCAGGATCTTTGTCAGCATCTCAAGCAACTTGATTTAGGTAGAAGGCAAAGCAGAGGGATGTGTCTTAGGAAGGGCAGGCTAAGAGCTAATGACAATCCCCAAATATACAATAGAATTTAATTTTCACACAACAAAGGCAGTTGTTCCTGATTGGCCAGTGACTTTCCTCCACGTGGTGATTCAGGGACCCAGGCTCTGTTCCTCTTGGGGCTCCTCTTTCCCTCAGGTCTCACTGTCACCTAAGTGTTGCCAGCAGAAGAGGAATGAGAGTATGGAAGAGGCACACTTGCTTCTGGCCTTGGGTCAGAAAGAGCGCACTCTTTTGGGCTCATATGCTACTGGTGGGAACTTGTCACATGACAACCCTAGTGGCAGGGGCTGCTGGGAAATGTAGTCTCTGAACCTCACAGACACCTGTACTAAAAGGATGAGGAATTTTGGCAGACAGCTAACCATCTCTGCCACAGGATGAAATCAAAACATTTAAGTCAGGGGCCCAGCAACTGCCCAGCAAGTGCAAGGCCCTGGGTTCAATTCCCAGTACCAAAAACGAAGAGTGAAAAAAAAAATTAAGTCAGAGAACCAAAAGGGAACAATTCATTCTGAGTCTTATAGGACTATTTTAAAGTAATCTGGGTCTTCAGTTAGGAAGTCCTGCCTAAATAATTTGCTAGAAAAGATTTTGCTTTTGCCAAGTATTAGAAAATCCAGCAATTTCAGAACTGGGCAGAAATACAGGAAAAGGCTAGGTGCATCGTGGTGCACACCTGTAATCCCAATACTCAGGAAGCTAATGGAGGAGAATCACCATAAGTTGGAAGCCAGCCTTCGCTACATAGTGAGTTCAAGGCCAGGCTGAACTAACTAGCAAGACCCTGTCTCAACAAAACAGAACATGTATATGAGCCAGGGATTTAGTTCAGTGGTTCCACCGCCTTCCTCGCAAGCGCAAGGACCCGAGTTCGATCCACGGTACCAAAAACAAACAAACAAACATGTATATGAAAGTTAGCAGAGAAGCAAGCAATTAAGAAACCTGTATGGTTAGGCCTAAGAACCTGGGCTGTTCCCCCGTGACTGGTCTTATCTATAACTAGCTTGTGCAGATGTGGGCCTCTAGCCTAATCATAGCTTTGGCCTCTGGCAGTGACAGATTTGATGAGACTTGGCTGCCTTGGGCACAGCCAGAGTGCAGGATGAGGGTGAAATCCAAAAGCCACACTCCCTCCTCCCTTGGGGGTCAACAGACATGCTGTGGAAACTTCATTGAGCAGGGATCTGCTTTAGGTATTTTTGCTGCATAACAAGTTACTACAAATTTAGCAGTTTAAAACAACACCCGCTGAAGAGTTTCCAGTTCTGTGGGCTAGAAGCTGGGGGCAGGCTTCACTGAGTCTTTGCTTGGGATGTCCCAAGGCCAAAATCGAGGTGTTGGCCTGTCTGAGCTCCCATTGAGGCCCTAAGGAAGAACCCACTTCCAAGTTCACTTGGGTTGTTCTCAGTTCCAGTTCCTGTGTGGTAGGAATGGGGTTCTTGCTGGCAGAGGGTCTCTTGGAGCTCCTAGAGGGAGCTCTCAAAGCCTTTCCATGTGGCCACCCTGCAAGCCCTGCATCTTTTTTTTGAGTCTCACTGTGTAGTTCAGGCTGTCCTTGAACCCACTATGTAGCCCAAACTGGCCTCGAATTTGTGGCAATTCTCCTGCCTCAGCCTCCCAAGTGCTAGGATTACAAGGTGTAAGCCACCACATCCAGGCCCCCAAATCTTTAGGTGCATCAAATTTTTCTCATGCTTAGAATTTCTGACTTGCCTTTTGCTGCCAAAGACAGTCTGCTTTTAATGAGCTCATGTGATTAGGTCAGGCTCACCCAAATAACCACCTTATTTGAAGGTCAGCTAATTAGTGACCTTAATCAGACTGTAAATATATGCACAGCAATAGAGTTGTGGGAGTAATACTGAGGGACAGAGACCATGGAGACTATCTAGAAATTCTGCTTTTCACCGTGCCTGAGGCTTTCAGTCTGGAACCCAGGGTAGCATACTTTGCAGCTAAAATATAAAAGTACTTTTGTATTCTGACCAAAGAGCTGTCCACAGATACCACAGTGGGGGAACTGACAGGTCTCGCACCAGCTGCTGCCAAACAGGAGAAGGATCTAGGAACAAAGAGGAAATGTCACCTCCCCCTTAAGCTCCTTTTCCTCGTGGAAACTGGACTTCCCCAGGAAGAGGCTCAAGACTGAGCAGAGCAGTGACCCCAAGAGAAATATGTCTACACTCAAGAGTTGCACAGGGACCTGTGCCATTTTTTTTTATTTTGAGATAAGGTCTCATTAAATTGCTAAATTGTCCAGGCTGGGCTTGAACTTGAGATCCTCCTGCCTCAGGCTTCCCAACTGCAGGAATCAGGTGTGCGCCACCACACCCAGCTACAAGGCCTTGAAGGACGAGAGACTGTCATTATTCCCTTTCTCCAGGGCCTAATAGAAGGTCAAAGCCCCTGGGAGCGTCATATCCAAATGACTCCGTCAGAGGGCGCTAGTCCCCTCTGGTCGCCAAACTCTGTGGTGTCAATCTGGATTCATTCGCCAGCCTGCCATCAAGCGTGAGAAAAGCCCTAAAAATGAGAAAATTAGTTAATTCACACTTTGGCCAGGTTGGGCGGGCAGCCAGTCCTCCCCTGGTGCGCACTGAGCTCTTCCACTGCAAGGGGGCTGAAGCCAACCCACAGCCACGCGTACACAGCTGGATCAGCCTGGCCCGCCCACTGGCCCAAGAAACGGAAGGCCAGGTTCTACTGACACTTCCCTGGCTCTCAGCAAGAGGATGGGGGAAAAGCAGCTTCACTTTAAAACTCCATCCAGACCTAGTGGCGCATGCCTATTATCCCAGCGCTGAGGCTGGGGAGGCTGACGCTGAATGATCACCTCGACCTGGAGGCCAGCCTGGGCTATATACAGTTTAAGGCCAATATGAACTACATAGCAACACCGTCTCCAAAACCAAAAAAAAAAGATTCTTCCTAATTTTTAAAGTTCCATTTCAACCTCTCAGTTTCACGTCTCCATTACAGCCCGTCACATAAGTCCTGATTAGCAGGAATCAATTTCTTGGAGGAACAATAATTGTTCCTCCTAACGCCAGAACCTGTACTTGCAGCCGCTGATCCCACGCTTGGAGGCCCGCGCATGCGTACTGCCACTTCTCCGGGCCTACGTGACAGGCCGCGGGTTGGTCATGGCGTCCGGTGAGGGCGGCGCCAGTTCCGCCCCCGAGGAGCCGCAGAGGAGGCGAGCGTCAGACACCGAGCCGACGGAGCGGGTCCGGACGCAGTCGCTGAGCCGAGAGCCCCGGAATTGCCCCGAATCGACCTCCTCCGGACAGCCTACTCCCTCTCCCTTCCTCGCGCTCCTTCACAGAGTACACAGTCCGACACGAGAGAAACTGAAGCCGACGGCCCCGACCCCCGCGACGTCGGACAGGGGCGCTAAGACCCGCCCAGCGTGCCCTGAGTGGCTCAGGGTCCGGGACCTCCCCTTTGTGGGGCTCTCATTGGCCTAAGTAGAACCGTAGGGGTGGGGCCTCAGCGGTCTCAGCGGGCATCTTATTGGCCTAAGGGTGTGGCTCTCCCGGCCTAAGCACTCTCATTGGCTGAGCTCGGTCGTTGGGGTGGGGCCGCGCCAGAGTGAAGACAACAAAGGGCGGCGGGAAGCCGGGCGGGTAGCAGTGTGCGAGTCTCTTGGTGCTTTCTTCAGCGGAGGCGCCCTTGCCTCCCGCCCGCCCTGCTCCAGATGAAGTGTGAGCACTGCACGCGGAAGGTGGGCCGCGGCCGGCCGGCCGGCCGGGTGGGGCGGGGGCCGACGTCGGAGGCCGGGGAGGACAGGGAGGCGCGGCCGGCCCGTCGGGCTGGGGGAAAGAGGGCGGGCGCTGCGTCCACCGCGGCCGCGATGGGTGCCTTCTCGCACCTGTTCCCGCGGGGACAGAGGTGCGTGACTCACCCTCAGAGCCTTCCACGCCCACAGTGACAAGGACTGTTCCGAAATGGACAGGGAGACGGGGGACCCTCGGGCTCCCCGCGCCTGCACTTCCGCGCTGTGACAGAAAGAAGGTGGATCCCGGCATACGTACTGCTGTGTGTGTGTGTGTGTGTGTGTGTGTGTGTGTGTGTGTGTGTGTGTGTGGTAGGGGGGATTGAGCCTGGGGCCTCGGCACTGAGCTACATCCCCAGCCCTTTTTTTACTTTATGACAGGGTCTCCCTACGCTTCCAGGTGGTTCTCACTGGGCTCGAAGTTTCGCTCCCCGTCTAGGCCTCCCAGAGTGCTGGGATTACAGGCGTGCACCGCCGCACCCGGCTATAACTTGCACTTTTTTTTTTTTTTTTTTTTTACTTAACACGGTATCAGAGAGTTGCATATAATTCTAGTCCATGCTGTGTAATAGCTACATCGTAGGCTAATTGTCCCTGTGTCTGAGGAAGTGGCTTCTCAGCCTAGTGGTGGAAGGCCACACCACTCCTAGCTCTTTCTTACTGCAAAGGTACAGGTGGAGAGGTGAGCATGTGCCTATAGCTGCTTTCATTTCTGTAGGAAAGATTTCTTGATGTGAGCTTAATACATATACAGTATGTATAAGGGTTTTTTTAAACAAGGAGAATTAGATTAAAAGTTGTTCTTTAACATCGTTTTATTTTCTTTTTAAGGAATGTAGTAAAAAGACAAAGACCGATGATGGAGAGAATGTGTCACCCGATGTGCCCAGTCTGGCCCAGGAGAATAGTGAGGCAAGTACATTGTTCGGTTTTACATCAAGCCAAAGAGGCTGTTGCTGTTTTTCTCCTGTTTGGAGGCCCATGTCACCATGCACAGTATTGCTGGAAGAAAAACAGGTAAAGCCAGGTGTGGTGGCACACATCTGTAGTCCCACCTCTCAGGGAGGCTGAGACAGGAGGATCACTGAGTTCGAGACCACCCTGGGCTACATAGTGAGAACCTGTCTCAAAAAAAGAGAGAGACTATTTGGGCCGGGGATTTAGCACAGTGGCACCACACCTGCCTCACAACCGCAAGGTCCTGAGTTCAATCCCTGGTACCAAAAACAAAAAAAGAAAGGCTGAAGTAAAATTGAAGGCACTGAAAGCCACATGCAGCACTGCCCATCAGTACCCTACAGCCTGTCTTTTCAGCCACACTGGGCCCAAATTCTACACAAGCAATAAAAAGTGGTGGTGTAATGTTTAAACCTCACATCTGTTGTGCGTAATGTAATTGTGTGTATACTGGGAATTTTTTTTTCTTTTCTGTTTTTCTGAGACCAAATCTCTCTCTGTAATTCAGTTTGGCCTTGAACTCACTATGTTGCCCAGGCTGGTCTTGAGACACTTCCTGTCTCAGCCTCCCCTGTGCTAGGATTATAAGTGTGTGCCACCACGCCCAGCTATATACTGGGAATCGAACCCAGAGATGCTGTACAACCGAGCTACATCCGAGCCCTTATTTAAATAAAATTTTTTTTGAGATAAGGTCTCACTATATACCTCAAGCTGGCCTCAAACTTGCAGTGATCCTCCTGCTTCAGCCTCCCAAGTGCTGGTTCCCCTTTTTTTTTTTTTTTTTGTGAGACAGGGCCTTGCTCAACAGTTTGGGCTGGCCTTGAACTCACTGGAGCCCAGGCCTCCCTCGATCTGTCAACAATGCTCCTGCCTTAGCCTCCTAAGCTCCTTAGCTCCTGTGCAGCAGCATCACCCAGTTAAGTTTAGTAGTTCTAAGGTGCCGATTAATCTGAGAGGCATCGCTCCGGTTACCCTGTGTGCCAGCGCTGTGGGGACTGAGGTTTTGGGCCAGGAAGGCGTGAGACAAGCACCCAGAGGTGGCCACCAGGCAGCAGAGGGGATGTGGGGCCAGGAGACAGTCCTAGAGGCTCTCCCATGCCTGCTCCAGTGGCACCGCCTTTACAGAAATCCAGCCCCTGCAGCTCCGATCCTGATCACTGGCAAGAGGATCTGGGTGGCCACCCTCCCTGGGCTCTGGCAAGGCTGATAAGGCCTCTGCACAGCCCAAGCAGGTTCCTTCAGTTCAGCAGTGGACACGATAGGAGAGGAGTTAGGAAGGGTTGGTGGAGGGGCCCTGAATGGAGGACGGAAGTCAGATGGCCTTGGGATGGAGCTGCAGCACCCTGGGCTTGGTCAGTGTGGTCTGAGGAGAGGCAGTGGTTTCCCTTGTCCAGGTTGATGCCAGGGGGACACATGGCAAGGGAAAGCCTCAGGTGTGCATCTGGGTATTTGGGCTGGTGACAGGAGCAGACAGGCTCACTAAGAATCCTCACAGCCACTTAGGAGCCTGGAGAGCCGGCCAGAGGCCTAGAGTGTCAGCCAGAGGCCTGGAGCGAGAGTGCCCTGGCAGGGGAGGCAGGCTGCTGTGGGCTAGAGGAAGAGAGAAGAAGAAGAGATAGGAGAAGAGAGATGCAAAGCCCTCGGAGGAGGAGACAGGAGGAGATAGGAAGGAGGTATAGGAGGGGAAGAAACAGCCCAGATCCTGAAGACAGCTCTCAGGAGCTCATCCTGCAGAGGGACAGACGCAGGGACACCAGGGCCAGCATGGCCGGACCTGAGCACCAAGCGGGGATTGAGGGGGTGTTGTGGACTTCCGTGTGAGTGTGGTTTGTTCTCGCAGAGCCCCAGAGGTGAGTGCAGGGGCCAGTCGGGAAGGAGAGGACAAAGGGGTCAGGGCGGCCGAACCCAGTGGTGTCAGCGTCCAGGTGAGGAGCTGCTCCACTGCAGCGGGTTGGCGCCAGTGTGGGTGCCTGCACTTCAGTCCTGGGTGGCTCCAGGGCCTGTTCTCATGCAGTTGGAGGCCCTGAGCCGGCAGTGCTGTGCACAACGTCCTGAGCCTGGAGGAGAGCGCCGAGCAAGCTGTGGGACTAGGTGAGCCCAGGCTGTGCAGAGCCTGAGGAACCCGGCAGGAAAGCCAGAGGCAAAGCCGCAGGCCTGGGGAGGAAAGTGTCCCAGAGGAGGTGGCTGGCGCACACAGGGATATCGTCTTCCTGCGCACGGCAGTGTTGGCTCCAGTGCTCCCGGGCCCTGCCCCCCCCCCCATGAGCTACTCAGTGCAGACCATTCCCTGAGTACCAGGCCTGCCCTGGCACTGTCTCTGTTTACAGACAGGCATTTTGCTGGTGTCCCCTCTAAAGAACACATGTTAACACCCGGTGTCGGTTCCTTCCACAGAAAGGAGAATTCCATAAATTAGCCGATGCCAAGATATTTCTGAGTGACTGCCTAGCATGTGACAGCTGTGTGACTGCAGAGGAAGGAGCCCAGCTTTCTCAGCAGAATGCCAAGGACTTCTTCCGGGTCCTGAACCTTAATAAGGTATGGTGCCGGGGACTCTCGCTGACGCTGGGCCTGGGGAGCCAGCCTAGAGGTAGGGGTGGGTGTCAGGGTGAGAGACATCTCCTTGTCCACAGAAGCCTCTGCTGCATCATCATCGGAGTCCCCTGCTGTAGTACACCCCCCGAGCCCTCTCCGACCTGCATAGCCTCTCTCCTTTGAGGGCTCTCAGGCCGTGCTGGCGGCTGGTCCACCCACCGGTCACCTTGGCTTGAGGGGAGGCCTCAGCCTGAGGTGGTCAGGTCACAGACCCAGAGCACATGAGCGGGCTGTTTTCAGAGATGAGCCAGGGTCCTTGGCAGAACAGAGGGCCAGGCTGAGGCTCCTTAGGCTCCCTCCTCCAGCGTCCCTACTGCCTTCCTCACTGAACTCCCTCCCAGGTGTTGCTGGCTTTCAGTAAGCAAAAGGGAAAGAGAAGAAGGACATCGACATGCGGGCCTCAGTTTAGGGTGGCCTCCTGGGGGTGGACATGCTCTCCCGGGTTCACCACCCGAAGGAGCACTGTGCAGCCTTCTCAGTGTTTGTCACTCACCCTCTGGCACCTTAGACAAGCCGTTCATCATTTCTGATGGTTCCTGCGGAAATGTTGTTTCTGTTGTAAGCATTAGTGATGGCTCCCTCCAGGGAAGCCCACTGCCTGCCACAGCTGCATGCACCCACCCCAGCTGTGCACCTGCTCCCTCAGGGACAGAACGGCAGTGGCTGCGTCACAGTCCTGCAGCTTCTTTGGTGCACTCCTTGGGGCTTGGTCTGCAGCGTCAGCCATCTTTTGAAAGGCCTTAGAAGTGTGCCCGGTGGACAGCAGCATCCAGCTGCCCACTTGCACTTGATATCACAGTGTGAGCTGGTGCAGTGGTGCACACTTGTAATCCTAGCACCCTGGGAGGCTGAGGCAAGAGAATTACAAGTTGAATTCACCTGGGCAACTTACCAAGTTAATGAGAACTAGTCTCACAATAAAAAATTTAAAAAGGATAAAATATCTATCGGTGTGGTGGTGCAGGGCAGAATCCTAGCACTCGGGAACCAGAGGCAGGAGGATCAAAGCAAGGTCGAGACCAGCCTGGACTATACAGTGACATCCTGCCTCAAAAAAAAAAGTTTAAAAAGGATAAAATAGGGAGGGGGGTTGATGGGGGGAATGGGATAAAATAAAATAAAATTTATTTTAAAAAATAAAGGGGGGGCTGGGGATTTAGCCCAGTGGTTTCACCGCCTGCTGCACAAGCGCAAGGACCCAAGTTCGATCCCTGGTACCAAAAAATAAAATAAAGGGGCCCAGGGATTTAGCTCAGTGGTGCTGCACCTGCCTCGCAAGCCCAAGGTCCTGAGTTCAATCCCCGGTACCAAAAAAAATACATGAAGTGCAAGGTCCTGAGTTCAATCTCCAGCACCCCCCCAAAAAAATAAACATGAAAAGGATAAAATATAGCTCAGTGCAAAGGTCCTGGGGTCAGTGCCAGTAGCAAAAAATGTCAAGGATACTGTATGACTTATCCTCAGTCCTATTACTTATTTACTCATTTCCAGTACTGGGGATTGAACCCAGGGCCTTCACATTGAGGTATATCCCCACCCCCTTTTCAAGACAGGGTCACACAGAGTCACCTAGGCTGAACTTATTTTTATTTATTTATTTGTTATTTTGAGACAGAGCTTTGCTATGCAGCAGCATAGGCTGGCCTTAAATTTGTAGTGATTTGTAGTGCCTCAGCCCCTCAGAGTGCCCAGCCTAACTTTTTATTTACTTATTTTTTTGGTACCAAGGATAGAACAGCCTAACTTTTTTGTTGCTGTTGTTGGTTTTTGTTTTGTTTTTGGTACTGGGAATAAAACTCAGTCCTTGGGCTTGTGTAGCAGGCAGCAAAACCACTGAGCTAAATCCCCGGCCCAGCCTAACTTTTTTAATCATATTTTTTCTTCTCCTTTTTTCTTCCATCTGCTAGTATTGGTCTTTTACTCTTCCCACAGAACATCTACTGGGTTCTGTTCTGAATCTTTCCTCAAAGCCTTTCTGCTCATATAATCAGCATATACATAGGACATTCTTTGTTTGTTCTTTCAGAAATGTGATACCTCAGAGCACAAGGTGCTGGTCGTGTCTGTATGTCCTCAGTCTTTGCCTTATTTTGCTGCTAAATTGAACCTCAGTGTCACTGATGCGTCCAGACGACTCTGTGGCTTCCTGAAGAGCCTCGGTGAGCCGCGCTGCCGTGCCACTGTGGGTGGATGCTGGGAGAATGTGGGGCGCCCTCTCCACCTGCAGACCTCAGGCTTCTTCACGGGCAGGAGGGAGGGCAGCCTGTGGGAGAGTCTCACAGACCATAAGAGAGCCCGTCCTGAGCGCCCTGCACCTAGCCTCCAGGGGATGTGGGGTGTCACCCCGAGTGCGCCCAGCAAGGGCTGACCCCTCCCGAGTGAGGAGGGGCTGCCTGCCAGCCGGCACTGAGGACAAGACACATGGCATGGGAGGATCCCACAGGTGCCCAACAGCCTCCACATGCAAAGCACACACACACAGAATGTTTATGTGCCAATCACATCTGAAGTGTTAGTGACTGGTTTCCCAAGAAGCTCTCCTGCTAGACGCGCCTATGATCCCAGCACTTGGAGGATCACTGAGTTCAAAGCCAGCTTGGGTTACATAGTGAGACCCTGTCTAAAAAAAAAAAAAAAAATACCTAAAATGTACCAATAAAATAATATTTAAAAAAAAAAACCAAGAGGGCTGGGGATTTAGCTCAGTGGTTCTGCCGCCTGCCTCGAAAGCGCAAGGTCCCGAGTTCGATCTCCGGTACCAAAATAAAAGTCGGAGAGTTTCTGCACTGCGGCTCCTGCAGGGCAGACCTTGCCTATCAGCCATTTGCGGGTTGTGGCTTGGCCATGAGCAGATAGTTCAGGAAAGGAGTACACAAGTGATCGGCCAGCAAGGCTTTGCATACTATAATGGCCTTCTTTTCTGGTGATACTGACTAGGGATTAAACATAGGGCCTTTGTACTGAGCTACATCCCCAGCCTTTTTAATTTTTATTTCTTAAATTTTGAGACAGGGTCTCACTAAGTCACTGAGTTGCCCGAGCTGGGCTGGAACTTGGTGATCCTTCTGCCTCAGACTCCCAGAGGGCTGGGATAACAGGTGAGCTCCACCACACCTGGCTCCGTAATGGCTTTTTAGGAGTGTACAAGTGTTGGAGATTAATGATGGAATGACACTGAGCATAGCAGCAGCAGCGCAGGCTCTGAGTATGAGGAGCGGCCTGCAGCACTCTTGGTGACAGCTTGGTGGGCTGCAGACGTCAGTGCTAGCTGCATACTTCAGAGAGCCCTGGCCAGCCCAGCTCACCAGTTAGGCCATACTGAGCAGCCTTGCAGGAGACCATATTGTCCACAGTGAAAGACCCTGTTTGGGGAAGATTTTTAAGTATGTGATTGAGCCAGGATGGTGGTACACCCCTATAATCACAGCACTTTGGGAGGATGAGGCAGGAGGATCACAGTTTTGAGCCCAGCATGGGCAACTTAGCAATTTACTGAGACCCTGCCTCAAAATAAAAGGTGGGTGAGGATGTAGTTTAGTCCAAAACCCCTGGGTGAAATCCCCAGCATGAATAACAACAACAAATAAGTAACTGATACTGGGCATGGTGGTGCACATTGTAATCCCAGCACTTGGGAGGCTGAGGCAGGAGGAAACCGTCTTGCTGTGTATTTCAGGCTGGCCTTGAACTCACTGTGTACCCCAAGCTGGCCTCCCACTCACAGACATTCTCCTGCCTCAGCTTCCTGAGTGCTGGGAAACAACAAAAAAGTAAGCCAGGTGTAGTGGTGTAGGTCCAAAGTCACAGGTACTCAAGAGGCTGTGGCAGGAGGATCAAAAGTTCAAGGTCATCCTGGGTAACACAGCAAGACCCTGTGTCCAAATACATTATTAAAATGTCTGGGGAAGTAGCTCAGTGGTAGACTGTACCTATGTTCCATCCCCTGTACCATAAAAAGAAAAAAAAATGTAGTCGGACACAGTGACACATGCCTGTAATCCCCCTTGAGAAGCTGAAGCAGGAGGGTAACAAGTTTGCATCCAGCCTGGGCAACTTGGCGAGGCCCTGTCTCACATGAGGCTGGGGGAGCTCTGCAGGGAGGCTTGCAGTGCAGTCTTGAAGCTGGGCCATCAGGAGCAGGACGGGCTGGCTCAAGAGACAGACTCCGCGGAGCCTGTTTCCTAGGTTTGTCTGCATGGGGCCTCAAAAGTGAGTCTGCCGAGCCGGGTGTGGTGGTGCACGCCTGGAATCCCAGCCCTCCAGAGGCTGAGGCAGGAAGATTGCCTCGAGTTCAAAGCCAGCCTGGGCTACATATCGAGACCCTGTCTCAGAAAAAAAAGGAAATGAGTCTGCTGGCTGGTTTTGCTGTCATGCTTTGCTGAAAACTCTCCTCTCTCCTTCCCAAAGGGGTGCACTATGTGTTTGACATGGCGATAGCTGCGGATTTCAGCATCCTGGAAAGTCAGAAAGAGTTTGTTCGTCGGTACCACCAGCACAGCGACGAGCAGCGTGCGCTGCCCATGCTGACCTCTGCCTGCCCTGGTGAGCCCCGTTTCCAGGGTTAGTGACTGGGTGGCTCGGGGATGGCCTGAGTTAAGATTGTTGGTGTTTCGTTTTTGTAGCGCTGGGGATAAAAATTAATACAGTACTATGCCTACCAGTTCCACGCCACCACCGGTAGTTGGATCTGCCCATTGGGACAGTCGTGCACGGACCACCAGGGCTTCAGGCCAGCGGGAACAACTGAGTTCCAGCCAAAGCCACCTGGCACCAAGGCACATGGGTTAAGGCTGTCCGGAATGTGCTAAACCCAGAGCTGGCATGCTCAACGGGCACTGTGCTTCTAAGCCACACCCGTAGGCCCTAACTAAGGCCTTATTCATTTATACAAATTTCTGAAATTTCTGAAGCAAACATTGTGGTATTTTTTATGTTTTGTTTTTGTTGATACACAGGATTGAATCCAGGGCCTTTGTACTGAGCTATATTCGCAGTCCTTTTTTAAATTTTTTATTCTGAGGCAAGATCTTGCTGTGTCGCCCAGGCTGAGTTCAAACTTAAGATCCTCTTGCCTCAGGCTCTAAGCAAGCTGATATTATAGGCATGCACCCTCAAGCCCAGCATAGGACCTATTTCTTAGACCACTCTTTTTTTTTTAATTTACACATTTTAATTACACACCCTATTTTTTTTTTTTGATATGTGTGGATTTTTTTTTTTATTAAATTCTTTTATTGGTACATTGTAGGTATACAACACAATTACATTTTTCATTGGGAATTGTACCTTTACGTAATGCATCTTGGTTCTCATTTTTTCCCCATTCCTAGCCCTCCCTTCACGCCCTCTACCCTTCCCTATTTACAAAGACTTTATTTCCATTTTTTCCATTTCTCATCATTTTTCCTTTCCCTTCTTTCCTTTCCCCTGCCC